AAGCTATGATAAAATCACATGCGACACAGCGACCTATGTAGTATACCTCCACGGGAGATAGGCGAGTCATAGTTTATGATTGGCCAGTAGGGAGAAGCGGTAAGCGGATAGAAAGAAGTGATAATCTTCTTGAGATACACTCTGTGAGCTCGGATTGGGGTATTTTGTATACCTATTTTTACACTATTGTTTTGATTTCACGAGTGAAATAGACGGAAATAACCATCGATTGCGATTCTCGTCACCGTTTTCAAGAGGACCGCCAGGTAGCATTTCCGCGTACGCGCACCTTATGCTGCACGCGCTCCTGCGTCACGATCCAGCGGTCAGAATTGGAGAGCAAGTAGGACAGGGGCAGGGTTCAGAAGCCGGCCAACTCGCGTCTACTTGGAGATGTTGCTGTGCCGTACGATCAAAACGTCGTAACCAAGGAGGCAGGATACAAGAATACAAGGAGATAGGTAAATACAAGGATAGAAGAATTTGGACATCGAGATCAGCCGAATGTGGGGTGTAAAACACAAGTCGTCCCGATAGTTATCGGGACTGGGATTTTTTCTGGAAAATGTGTGCAAGACCTTTTATAAAGTCCCAGGCCATTCAAAGGACTGGGAAGTGCAAAACATTACTTTATTGAGAACAGCCCACATTTTGCGCAAAGCATTGTAGAGGCACCGACAGTTCCTAGATCTGCTCCTTCGGAGCTGGTTGAAACCCGGAGTAGCCTTTATAACCAACCGACCCATAACAGCTCTAGTCCTGAATTAGTGAATAATAAACCAGGCTCCGGAGCGGACGGGCGCATCCGTTTCGGACAGCTGGCCAGCGGACCCGCAGCCCGAGCCGGCTATAAGAGCTTCGCTTGGCGAGCAGAGGGACAGTCAAGCGCCTGCCCGCCTCGAGAAGTGATTAGTGAATGGTGAACAAGTGCGACGACGCGGCTACGAATACGGTCTTCCTCTGTAGTGAAACAGCGAACGGTACAACGGCTGCGATTTTGGACATCTCCCCGGGAAATTGTGACTTGGACATTCTTCGGTACATCTTCTGGAAAACTGTTTGGATCTGGCTTGAATTTGTCTACCTCTGTACTAATTGTGGTTGGATTAAATCCATTTTTAGAAATTGCTTTCTTTTGGATACTACAGCTAGGAGGTTTAAAATCAGAATGAGCTCCAAAAATCTTAATCAAAAACAGGAAGCAGAGGAAGAGAGACTCAAAGGATTGCAGCTTTGGACGGGAGACAGCTTAAAATCAGGAGATACAGCGAAGCATCGAAAAGAAGATATCAGGAATATTTTTTTTCTCCCGACCAGAAGAAATTTTACAGACAACTGGAGACTTGAGATGAAGGAGAACGGTAATGTCAATCCCGAAATGATACGGTTAATTTCTTGTGTGAAATCTGGTCTGTACTTCACTATCACAACGAGCAGGCATATTGGCTTCATAGAGAAATATGAGCTTGCCAAAATATAGATGAAATGCCATCAGTTACGATTACTGAAGCTGATATTAGAGCAAAAAGACGCAGAACTGGAAATCAACTGGTCCAGATGGCATTCATAATTCAATATTTAGGGATGTTGCAGATGTTGAAAATATCTGACACGAATATCAGAAATAAGATGCAAAAGAAGGTACTATCCAGAGTACATAAAATTTGTGAGATGAGCATCACCTCAAGAAATAAAATGTCTGCAAGTAACACATGGGCTATTCCTGCAGAAACTTATACTTTCGGAGTGATAAACTGGGCGGATACCTCTTTACGAGCTTTTAAAAATTTGAAGCTACCGAAAATTGAGAACGGCGCTCTTCAAACATCGACTCCATCATCCACATACTTCAATAGATATTATATCTATCTCGAAATAATGCAGGCAGTTAAGTATTGAATTTGGAAGCACTATGTCGTCATCAGGAAGAGAAATCACTTTTTCTGTCAATTGATACTCCACTTCATAAAGCAATTTGCTCTCAGGATAAAAATATCAGCTCAAGTCTAGCCCAAGAGAATAGAGATATCCTATTCTTGGCAGCTCAAGATCGAATTAATGCCTGGAAAACAAAAGACCTGCTTGGCAGGGTTCTAGCAACATCGAGTTCTGAAGACGTTGATCTGAAATGGTCTACAGGATAGCTGCGAACAGCGGGTCTTTATGGTAAAACAGAGGGATTCCTGTTCTCCATACAACACCAAGTTATTAAAACCAGAACCTATTCGAAATATGTTATGAGCCGAAAGATTGATAGCAAATGCCTATTATGTAAATTTACCAATAAATCTATCCAACATATTGTTGCGTCACCAAGTTTCATTATATTAATTCAATATTCAGATAGTTTTCTCCACGGAAAGAAAGTAGGTCGCAAGACAGGGCTCTTGTCACAAAATATCTTTTTCAACGCATCGCGCCGCCGTGGCCAGCTGCCCCGCCCGCCCGCCAAATAGGGTGCCGTTCGCAGCAGACTTGTTTACGACAAGCCGCCCGCTCGGCGCTCGCCCGTCGCACGGCCCTCGACGGCAGCCGATCCGCAGGGAAGACCGTTCCCCACACCTTCCCCTTCGGGAGCCTCCGCGCACTTAGCAAAACAATGACCCTCCGCGCCTTGGCCCGGAGACGGTCCTGCGCAAGGAATCTCCCTACAACACTTCCGGAGATCCCAGAGGTTTTGTTTAGAGCTCGCCCGTCGCCGGCTGCCGATCACGGCGCCGAAGAATTGTTTTCAAAAACAAAGCCGCCTGAACACGTGTTCGGGCAGCTGCAAGAGATGCTACAAGAATTAGAGAGAACTTTGCCACCGAGTGCGGTTTTTTAACCGAACCAAAGACCTGCACAGACTACGTGTCAATTTGCGTTCGCCGCATAGTGCCGTCTCGGGCCCATTCAAGCCCGCATCACGCCCGCCCGGCGCCCGTGTCTCCTCGAGCTGACTCTGAGCCCGCCCGCCTTGGACGACTCCGAGAAACATCCACGCCGCCAGCTGAGGAGAAGAGCCGAATGGGGAGTCGGTGACCTGACACCGCCACGCCGCCAGCCCTCGCCAGAGCGAGGGTGAATCACGAGACGAGGACAGCCATCCAGCCGGTCTGCGGAGACGCCGACAACCAGCGGGGATAATCCGGTATTTAACCGGAGATGAACTCTCTCCCTTGATTACGTCACGGGGTTCCCTCGCTGGGTATTCCGGCGAAAGTTTCAACGTTGACGAGCTCAGGCAGTTTTTTATTACTTAACAATGCACAAATTGTAGTAGACAAAACCCCAATGTTAGTGTTAAGATGTTTCTTCCTAGCTATTAGAACCATGAGCTCATTGCGTAAAGTTGGTAGGCAGTCTTTGTCGCTCTCTTGCGACGTGTAACTTCCCTAGCAGCTAATGTTGTCAGGAATAAATTAATTTTCGCCCAGTTAATGAAATGATTCAATAGATATTTTCATAACCTCCCTTCTCTTCCATCCATTCATTATAGGAATGAACCAGCGACCCGACTGAGCTAAACGTTACAATAAATGGAACGGATGCCCATATTTGGCACAAGCTGAATTCTTGCTGCGACATAATAATGTAGCCACAGTAATTCATCAGGTACTTGCAAAGAAATATCAACTAGGAGAACAAAATCATCCGCATTATAAGTGTAAACGTGAGAAAGTAATCAGTAATAATCTAGCGTGAATACTGTCAGACAGCAAAGTTATAAGTGACAGGACTGTTGAAGCAAACATACCAGACATAGTTTTATTTGATAAAATAGCCAGAACAGGTATTATTATTTATGTTGTAGTTCCTACAGACGACCACCTTGTGTCAACTGTTGCTGAGAAAAAACGGAAATAAGGCTGGCTGTTGAGTTGAAGGATATGTGAGAGTGGATAGTACCTGTGAATATTGGCAAATGATGTAGTTGCAAAGGGCTGGCAGAAGGCTGGAAAAGTGTGAGCCTTCGAGAAAACATTTCAGAACTATGGAAAGGGTAGTATTATTGGGTACGGCAAACATCACCAGAAAGTTTGTGTGCCTTGAATGAGGTGGACGAAGGTCCAAGGAAGCAAAGACCACCAAAATCGTAATTAATGAAGGACTACATAAACGTTGTTTAGAACTCTGTGTGACGAAACTCTTCATGGTAGCAACTCCATATTTTTGTAGACAAGCTGTGTCTTGAGCAGGAATTGTCCGACATTTCTTGAGAAGTAGAGGAGTAATAAATATTATCCGTGCACGTTTTCTTGAGCCCTCGCTTCGCTAGATTGAGAGGAGTGGGGAGTTTAGTTATTTTGACAAAAGGAATTTTGCGTTGACTTTGTAGTTCATGTTTCCATGCAAACTAGTTTCTAATACACGGGAGCGAACATTTCTCTTTACCAGATTTTGTCTACAAGGCTGGTTGCTATCATTTGTTCTTAATTCAACTAATGTTGGGAAAGGAGTGGGGGTAGATATTCCGGGGCTCAAGAAAACATGCAGATATAATGATGATAATGATGATGATGATGATGATAATAATAATAATAATAGTAATATTATTATTAATAGTAATTAGTATTATTATTAATTGTAATAGTTTATTAGTAATTTAAGTAATTCTTAACGTCGTAAGCTTCTGTTCAACGGAAAAGAATGGTTAAAAAAGGTTTTTTGAAGTTCCTAATTATTATTATTATTATTATTATTATTATTATTATTATTATTATTATTATTATTATTATTAGGGACTTCAGAAAACTTTTTTAACCATTCTTTTCCGTTTGAGAGAAGCTTAAGAATTACTAACATTTTACGCAGTTGGCCCCCAATGACGATCTTTCCGTCGATACTCTCTTATTTTCTGAACTTTTATCACAATTTAAACGAGGACCAAATTTCATGTGTTGCACGAACGATTGCCAAACGTTAAGTAAATTTACTTCTCACAATCTGAACCTACAATCTGAAGGCAAACAATGAAATCAAGTGTTATTCTGAACGTGCCCACTAGCAAAACAGTCAAAGTTCAACGAGTGACAATTGAGCGGAAATAAGGTTGCACAGCGGAAGTCGCTCTCATCTGGTCCCGCTGTCAACTCTCTTGCTGCTGTCACTGTCAAACTTAAGCTGCTTTTGTGTTAACATTACTCATCGACAATATTCACTTCGAATGAGGGTCCTTACGGTATGGAGTGCTAGAAATGACAATTTGATCAGTTAGTGTGTCTTGAGATTTTCGCTGTTTGAGAGCTTTGTATCATACAGTATTGCAAGTTAAATTGAGTTCAACATTCGTTTATATTTAAGAATGATTGCTCCAAGTGTAGGTTCTACAAACGAAGGGCCGGTGACCATTGTTCCCGAAGGCGCTGTTCCAGTAGTTGTGACTGCTAACAATGAAAAAGTACCTTTGATATCCCGCAGGCGATTTTTTCGTAGGTTAACCACAGGCTTAGGTTTCAGCAGCAGCTTGTTAACGGAAGGGTATGTAGAATTCAGCGATAGTTCTGGACGGACCCTTGGCACTTTTGCAGGAGTATTTAGTCCTGTAGCTCTCTCGATGTTCAGTGCTCTGCTATTTTTACGAGTTGGTAAGTTATTCACTGCATATTTCTATAAAATGTTATTGTAACACCTGCCCTAAAATATTTAGTATTGTTTTATGTTTCAGGTTTCATTGTTGGTAATGCTGGCCTTTTGGTAACTCTTGTACAGTTTGTAATTGCATATGGCATTCTCCTTTTTACTGTGGCTTCGGTATGTGCAGTGTCAACAAATGGTGCGGTAGAAGGGGGTGGTGCATATTGTATCCTTTTACACGTCTTTGTATGCAAGTTGAAACTAATGAAGAAATTTCTTGATCAATTATACTTCTGATATCATATCTCTTCTAATGTAGGAATGAATTTTCTTTCAAATATTTTGATCATTTATATTTGCAAATACTATTTATTTGTGTGTAAGGTATCACTTTGTGAGGTAAGAACAGAAGATAACTACAGTCAATTTGTGATGTAGCTTATAATTAATTGTTTATATTTAACTAGAACTTTGAATAATGCGAACTCTTTGGTTGAAAGTAAATGTATCACTAATAATTGTGAGGCTTTTGTTATCTTATCTATTGGGCATGGAACAGTTTTTATGTTACATATTATAATCTTGCGTTCCTTTGTTAAAGAAATAAATTCTATAATGGGAAAAGAACAAATGCTTTCTTTCCGAGTCCTATTTTAATCGTGCGAGTTTGTAATGGTTCCTTTAAATTAGTTAATATCTGGAAATTTAATTAGAAATTTTGTTCACAGAAAATAAGTAGGAAGACAGTCAAGGTCAAATAACTTATTCTTTTTCCCTTGGTGTTTTCATCAATTAAACATTTGTAACAGTTTATAAAAAATTTTGCATTTAATTCAAATACGCTGTAAAGATGCTTATTTCACTTCGTGAAATAAATAATTATATTCCATAATAAGATATAAAGACATTGCTGCAGGATGTGTACTATTTATTTGAAGAACATCTTGAAACTATGTGGCTTACTCAAGTGTTCTTTTGGATCAGTCTTTTGTTAATTTGGTAGTTACATTTGAAAATTTTGGCCTAAAAATTGGATTATATCATCAGAGTATGTTGAAACTATTTTTAAAAAAATGATTGTGAATTATGGAAGAACGTCTGTTTAGGAAAAGAAATTATGGGATATGATTGCTCAGACTTAATTGTTTTTCTTATTATTGATATGAAGAAAATATATAATTGAAAATCGTTATATTAATGAATTAAAAAATAATTTGTTCCTGAAGTGTTTTTTCCTCCTGAATTCTAGAACTGATTATGGTAACTTGGTTGGAGAATATTCAATGATTTTCTGAGTGAATAGCTTTATTTTTATTATGTGGATATTTACATTTTTGAGATGTTTTCCTTAACCCATTTCTCTTAGTTATGATAAGTAGAACTCTTGGTCCCGAGTTTGGTGGGTCTATTGGGACCCTTTTCTTTCTGGCAAATGTTGTAAGTAGTGCTCTTTACATCACTGGATGCACTGAGGGCATAGTGGAAAATTTTGGTCCTTCGGGTGAGAAATTTTATGTGTTAATATTTATTTATGTAGATATAAAATTAATTTTGTTTTGTTACAAGAATATTACTCTTGTAAATAGTAACACACATCAAGGCATTATCTAACAATGTTATGGTTTCAACATACTGACTGCCATAGGAGCCACATGTGGCTCAGGAATATTGTTCCTCAAACTCTGTGCACCATCATGAGGTTCAAAGATACTTCCAATTCAGGCTGCATAGCAGCCTGGTGTGCGAGGTGCAAAGTTCAATCTAGAGGTTTTGTGAGTCACTTGTGTATCACAGAGAAGGTTTTTCTATATGTTATATGATCAATGTGCCCTCAGAAATTACTCTGCCTGTTAATACTTAGGGAGAGTTGTTTTGGTGATACTGACAGAAAGAATGTTAATTTGAGGTGATCATTCCGTAAAGAACCATGAACCCGGCCAAGCAAGAGTCAAGAGAAATGTGACCCGACCAAGTGTTCAGGGTTTTATTGTCAGTGGCTGTCAGTGTGTTAAGGATTATTGTATGACAATAAATTTCAATTTTTTGCAATAATGTCATATGTAACCTAAAATTTGTTTTCTAATTAAAGAGGTTTCCATACTATTAAAGGCAGTCAAACAGAAAGATGTGAAAATAGGCACAGTTAATTCATATTTAAGTCACAAATGCAATGTGCAACTGCAGTAGACAATCCAAATTTCTCCACAATTTATTTAGTATTTAGCCAAAGAAATCTTTTACTTGCATTTGGCCATAAACCCATTAACAATGTCAATGTGCTTTAAACAGCATTTTTGAATTTCAATTTTTTTAAACTTCAGATAAGAAAATTAGAATCGTGGTCTTCTCATTAATAAAAATTGTATACAGCACTGCAAACATTTAACAATGTTACCCGTATATACTGTCTGATGTATACTTAAATGAAGGAGTAGGAAAAGAGATTCTTTCACAATGAAGTCAATAATATGATATTTATTCAAGGGTTACCATATTTTTGTTTAATTCGAACAAATTATTTGTGATATGTTCTATCACACTGAATTCTGATCAATGAGGTTATTCTCTTGTGTAAAGTAAAGCTGTGTTAATAATTTTGCTTCTGGCATGCAGGATATTTAATTGGGGATGGAATGCAAGGTCTACCAGATGGCCGGTGGTGGCGATTCCTGTACTGCTCGCTGCTGAATGTCCTGAATTTGATTGTATGTCTCATTGGTGCTAGTATGTTTGCGAAGACCAGTGTAGTCATTCTCGCTATTGTGTGCATCTGCTTGTTGTCAGTTATCATCAGTTTCTTGGTCAAGGAACCAATGTTGGTAGGTTGACTGTACATATGTTGATCTTTGCTTATTTAATTAATTGATATTTCCAGCAAAAGGTATTAATGGGATTTAGTTACTTTATTACCTGTGAAGTTTTTAATGTGTATTTTCCATATACATGTATTTTCTGACTTATTGCTTTAGTTTACCATAATTCTAATTTTTCTTAATTTACAAATGATTATTTATTATATTTATTATGTACAATTTACACCAAAACAGATTTTATGTATCTTCAGTTATACTCATTCAATTCATCAATTTAATGAAAAAAGTTCAGTATTCACCAAAATAATGAAACATACATTTTATTAAAATTTTTTGGGCTCTATTTAGAGTTATTGAGCTTAACTTCAATTATATGTATATGATAAAGAGATGTGAGCATGCGTGTGTGTTTTTCTGTGGATGTTTGTAAATAAGACACTTTAACTTAGGGGTAGATACATTTTTCATCATCCCATCAAATTTCATATTTTATAAACTAATTGAAAATCAGAGTGCAACATACTTGTATTTGGTATGTATGTAATTGCATGAGTACAACATTGATGACCCCTCACATTTAGCTTCCTCAATGTAATGAGTAGTTGCATGTTTGTTTATATAGTTCCACACATTTTTGAGTAAAGTAATCTCACATATCCTTATTTTGGGCATTTTTGTGCATATTTAGAAATTGATGATATTTTTTAAGAGAAGTCTACACCGAAGTTCGAATAATGTGCTTGCTCTTTCATCTACTGTACATAGTTATGTAATATTTAAGTTTCACTATCAGTCGAATTTGAAAGAAAAAGTTGGTACAAAAATATACATGCAAGTGTTGACTGTGTGTCGCAGTTTTAAGAATAAAGTCATTTATAAATTTAAAATCAACTTGTTGATTGCATAAGGAAATGAGCAAAAATGAATATTTGAAGAGTTACTTTGAAAATTAATTTCCTCTTTTGAAGGAAGAAATTTAACCCTTAACTTCTGGTGTGTGGTCAATTTAAAGACATTTACCGGTTTTTATTTTCCAAAAAATGGCAAGTTTCTGAAGCTGCGGGTTCGATGTAACCTTTTCTGTTATGGTTCATATTCAGAGTGTGCAATGAAAAATGCTGTTCACATATCTGTTTCTCTCGATTGTTCATTTTGACTCAACACCAGCGTTGGCGTTCCTGTAGATTTTGATATGGCGGATTTGTGTGGTGGCTTAAATTTGTCTTTGGGACTCGTTTTAGGTGAGTGTTGAATACTGCTTCTGGTTGGTGAAAGCACAATAATTGACCATTTTTAGAATATTATATCAGAACAAACTTGACACTCCTCATAAATTCTTGCCAAGTATACAAAAGCCTCGTTGGCTTTACAAAGGAGGTGACAACGGCATCTTATGTGCTTGCCATATCATGATCTGTAGATATTTCTATTATTCACAAGGACAAGAAAATTGAAGAATGCATAGGCCCTCTGCAGAAGCTTGCCATCAGGTGTGTAGTAATTACAGTGTTGACTGAAGAACGAGGTAGTGTCCATTACTTGTACTATTCTTTTATTTTGTAAACATGAAGATTTTTTACTTCCACATTATATATACTATTTAACACATATTCCTCCCCAAAACCAAATAAAGAACACAATTTTCTTGAGTCAGAAAGGCCGGGTCCATGTGACCTGACCCCAGTGAACGTGTTACAGATATCGTGTCAGAAGTTAGGGTTAATAGCAAGTAGAGAGAGACTCGGGTCTGCTGTTGTCTCCAGAAGTTGCTTACTGTAAAAGTTAGTTTCAAGGAAGTTAGAGGCGATGGATAGTATGGACACCCCTCAAATTAGTTTGCTTGAGTTCGTGTTAAAAAGAAACGTCTGATGACTGCAAACACTGGTTTGTTTGTTTGTTTGTTTATTTATTTTCAACATCAAAACTGAAAATGTGCGACATGCTATAGGGAGAGTGATCCCTACCCTAACCTATATAAAAGTTCAATTTGGAGTTCAGATGGAAATGAGTGTTTCCGGCAAGAATCAATAAAAAAAGATACCTTCTGGGTAATAAAAACTATTTGCAAAGGCAAATGAGTTATAGATTTGGGTTATTATCCCTCATCTTGGCCTTTCTGAAGTAATTGACTTCCTACGACAAGAAAATGAACAATACTTTGAATAACTATATTTCCTACTGATGTCTAGAAGATGTGCACAGATAATGAAGTTATATTTACGATCAGAAGCAAAAAATAGGGCATCTCAGCATTGCATAATGATGTAAGTTCAGATTCTTAGGTAATGATGCAAGTGGTGTTAAGTAGCGTTGAGTATTGAAAACTCTTCAGAGAAGTTATTTTCAGTTTTTAAGTCAGAAACTGAGAACAAATCAATAACATTTAATTTGGCATTTGTGCTTCTTGCAGACACACTCCTTCATATCTTCCAATAGAAATATACAATCTCTGTTATTAAAAAAAAAAAAAGTTATACAGGAATTTTATACTTTTGATCTTGATATTGCACAGATTGTTCGGAAAGAGAATCACATATTTGAAGAGAGTGTGAAAATGAATGTGGCCTTGAGGAAGGTCATTGTGCCATGGATGCAATGTTGTCTGTTTGATATTTTATAAATCAGATTGTCAGGAAGTGGAAAGAGGCATAAAAAGTTCCAGAGGCAAAGAAATAAAAGCAATTCTCTACACATATGATAAACTATTCTTTTATACATAGCAAAATAAAAGCAATAGGATTCAAAAGAAAGAACACTGCTATTTTTCCAAAATAGTTATAGAAGATTGAATAATCAAACATCTCACAACCTTCACTTTCTTATGAAATAAGATTACCCTACAGGAAGAGGATATTCGATGTAAAATTGACAAGATACAACTGAGTAAATGGAACTATTGAAGCAAATTTCAAAACGTGTCTAAGAAGTAAACTCAGACTACAGACTCCACAGTTTGGCAGCAAAAACAGTTTTTCTAGAGTACCAAAATGTGGATTTTGGGGAAGAAGATGTAAAGCCATCATAAAAAGCCTTAAATCCAAAGGCAGGCATTGTAAAGAAAACAGAAATACACATTGTCATTTTCGGCATGTGTATGTGCGTGTGTGTGTGTGTGTGTGTGTGTGTGTGTGAGATCCCATGTTCAGTTAAATCTAACACATTTTACTCCTTAAGTGGTAATTTTTTGGGATAGGATGTGGTATTTGTCACACACATTGTGAACAATAGTAACAAAATCTGTATGGTATTAATTGTGATTGCATTTATAATAATATTGCATTTTTTAATAGGTCTCCATTCCTATTGCTAACACTCTAGTTCAGAATGCAACTCACCCTGCTCATGGAAATTATACTGGTTTAGAGCAGAGTACTCTGGATTTTAACCTGTTTCCAAGCTTTGGTAGGGATTACTCCTCTGATGGTGAACTTGTGAAGTTCGCAACAGTATTTGGTGTATTGTTCAGCGGTGTCACTGGTATTATGGCTGGTGCTAATATGTCAGGTACGTAAAAGGTAATGCGTCATTTAAAAAAATTTGAGATTTTGACCTATCTAGAAAAAAAGATCCAAACTATAAGAAGAATGTTTGGGGAGAATCCCACCGTAGAAAACATGAGTTAGACAAGAACTATGTGCAATAATCAGAAATAGTTTTGAAAGAATTGGGAAAAATCAGGGAACTGGTGCAGAGATGATCTGCTTTAAAAATAAAAACAGACTAAATCATGATTAATATTTAAACATTATTTTTTTTTGTGGGAACAATGTTTGGAGACAAGCTGTTTGTACAAACACTACAAATCTGACACTACAAGTGTGCGCGAACGCATTCTTGGCTGAACCTAGAAAAAGGTGCAAGTCCCTCGGCAATGCTAGTTTTGTCTAGTGGGGAGAGGAATTTTGTCAATTTTTTAGGCTGGGGAACCCTTGAATGGCCGCAGTGAGAAAATTATCCTGGAGAATGTTTCTGGGGATGGGACAGGAGGCGGAATGAGACTACAAATCTCACGAAATTATGTTTTGTTCACAAATTCAGAGGACGAGTTGGAAGACTGGCACTGAAGGCAAGCACGCTTCTTGCTGTGCTAGGTCGTTCTGAAATAATATTGACTGTGGGGGCAAGTATATTACTAATTTCCAGTTAACGCTGAAACTGAAAGACAATTATGAAGCCTTCTGGCTTGTGAGAGGTGTCAGTGGTTTTGTTATATATCTGTGATCTGAGGAAAAATACCCATGGAAAATATAAGTTTCAATTTAACTGAAAAATAGAAATATTTGATTGTGTTATTCTGCCTATTCTCAAATCGTGTGTACCAACTGAATTCTCATACGGAATGTGCCTTACAGTCTTGATGGGGGAGTGGTTAACTTGCTGACCTCTCAATCACCAGTGTACAGGCCAAGATGCATGGATTTTCGAAGGTCACGCTTCTGGCATGTAAAAGAAGCTGCACTGAAGGGGGGTGGTCTTTAAGGGAAGTCTGTGTCAAAAATACAGTGCACAACCAGGGCTAATGGCTGTCTCCCTGCCAATAACACTACTTGTGCATCAGCAAGGCTCCCAGGAGGAGGCCATCCGCTATTAAATATTTGCTACTTGTGCATATTAAATCTTTGCTTTATGAAACATCAACTTTATTATATTCTTGTGTAAAAAAACAGTTGTACTTTATTATATACTATACTATGTTATGTTATTGCAGTACTTGTGAAGACTGTTTTTGTTAAAATATATTAATTTCTTGGAGTGTTATTTGAGAATATTTTATTTGTTCTTGAGCATTGTGTGTCCTACTTTTTGGAGAGCAATTTTGTGTTTTATTTATCAGCGTTTTGATCTCTAGTAATAATTGATATTCTTTAATGTATTTATATTGCTACATATACTGATTTTGTACTTTGTTCCTGGGCTAGAGTCCAGTTAATGAGTATGCAATGAGTGTATCATTTCCTTTTTCTTATTAATCTGAGTGGTGCTATTGAAAATGTTTACAGGTGAACTGAAGAATCCAGCCCGCAACATACCTCAAGGCACATTGTCTGCTGTGGGGTTCACATTTTTCTGCTACATTATTATCTCAGTATTGACTGCGGGTACATGTGATAGATTTTTACTCCAAAATAACTTTATATTTATGATGCCCATCAATATCTGGCCAGGATTTGTTGCTATTGGAATCCTTACTGCTACTTTTTCTGCCAGTTTGAGCAACTTGATTGGTTCTAGTCGAGTGTTGGAAGCCTTGGCAAAAGACAATGTGTTTGGTAAGTTTTGAATAATAGTGCAGAAGTGATGTGTTACTAGTATAGATAGAAAGTTAATGCAAACTTCTAGCTCTGAAATATGTATACAAATATGCCACAAAAATGTTAGAATATTCACAGAAATTGTTAAGATAAGTAGAATTTGGTCACAAAATGTATTTTAATGAACTTAAAACTTTTTGCCACCTAGAGAAACAGGAGTCAGATTAAATCACATCAGTACCCACATTTTATTTTCTATTAAGATAACAAAAAATGTCACAAGAATTTTATTCAGTTTGTCTATTGTTAGGGAGTGGCTCCTATCAGACAATATCAATTTAAACATAAAAATATTATTTCCATTTTACATGATGTCATGGGTGCGAATTTATGTTTTTGACACGTTTGTGCTCAATACATTATCTGGAACGGAAACATTATTTCCCTCCAAAAGTGGACACACTGTCTGTAGAGTATGAAGTCCTAGATTCTTTCCAAAACGTTGGTTTTCTTCCTAATTGCTTCACCCATGTCATGCAGAGCTGCCACCATTTTCATCTTCTCTTTGTGTATAGAAATTTGTTGGGGGCGTTGAGAAATATCTTCTTGATCTGGTTGATAGCTTTGTTGACATTTGCACTGAATTATCTGATTTTTCTCTGCTACTCTGTGCACAGCTTGTAGTGCACAGCATTTCACATGTAGCATATTAGGAAACAGGGCTTCTAATAAAAGAAATGTACGTGGTAATTAATATTTTTGTGTTACATTAGGATAAAAGTAAAAAAATCTACAGAAACATTCATTTATATACAAAATGTTCCTCGCCTTATTTTTATTCCTTTGCCATGAAACATACATATTTAAAGTTTCAGGAAGATATGACCATTAACAAAGAACCTGCAATTGCTTGACCTTCCCAGCTCCAGTTCTCAGTGTGCAAACCTTTGACTGTTTCTCTGTTACTTATGTGTATTCTGTTTTGAATCTTTTTAACTTGTCATGTTTTACTCAATATTTTACAAAACATTCATAGAGATGTTAATTTAAATTATTAATTAACAAAATTAAGATATTATTTTATTTATAATACTGTGAAATGTTTTTACATTGGAGCAATAAATAAAACAGTACAATGCTCTAAATTTTGTTGTTGTTTGAGAAACATTCGGGCTTAATTTCATAACGGTAACCAGGTGCGTAATTTAGCACTATAGTAACAAGAATTTTGAAACACTGCTTCCAACTTTAAAAGACAAGTATACCAGATTATCATTCAGAAACCACAATGTAATGTGCGTTTCTTGAAGAGTTTTAGAGTTCAGACATTTTCTCTCATTAATTAATATCTGTCTGTAAATCTATTTGTCGGTTGAACATGATGTTCATATTTGGCTCTTATTTGTTTCATAATGTTCATTGTTTGTACAAAAAACCTTTTAAGTTCTCTGCTCATTTGCTGCCCTAGCTCGATGGTAGTGTACTGGCCTAATTGTATTTATTGTGCAGGGTCCATGCTGCAGTTTGTGGTGAAAGGTGTATGGAAAAGCAACCCTGTAGCAGCTGTGGTCACATCTTGGGTGTTGGTGGAATTGATTATGTTGATAGGCTCTCTCAACTTGATTGCTCAGATCAATTCAGTATTATTTCTGCTCTCTTATCTTGCAACCAATTTGGCCTGTCTGGGACTTGAATTGGCATCAGCTCCTAATTTTAGGTACATATTGTATTCCCTGAATTTATTCTCAATTGCCATGCATTGCATATTGTGAATTCATTACTAATGAAATTAATCACTTTCGAGAATTTATAATGCATGTTGACGTATCTATAGCTCTTTTTTGTATCTGTGATAATTTTATATTTTGCTTAAATTAAATCTGCTTTTTGTTAAAATTAGCATTAATCTTAAATTATTTTTAATATCTGAAATTACTTCATCTTAGAATTAACATAGAACTTATTTTGGAGTTTGCTACTTGATGGCTTTAAGAAACATATCTCGTCTCATATTTTGAACATTTATTTGTCAAGAAAAAGTGTAACATTACTTTTTTCAGGCCGTCTTTCAAGTATTTCTCTTGGCACACTGCTCTCATTGGGCTAGTTGGAACATTAATTATGATGTTTATCATCAACCCTATATATGCCTCGTGTAGTATTGTGCTCTGTATGATTTTGGTAACTGTTCTGCATTTGTTTTCTCCATCTCGTGATGTTCATTGGGGTTCAATCTCTCAGGCTTTGATATTTCATCAGGTAGGAACATGGAACTAATATACTTCTTTCCTTCTCATATTATTGCGGTTTGAAATAATGTAATATTTGATTGTGACTTTTACGAATTGTTTGTTTCCATACCAGGTTCGCAAATATTTACTTATGCTGGACTCTCGCAAAGACCATGTGAAATTCTGGCGCCCTCAAATGTTGCTTTTAGTTGGAAATCCAAGATCTGCTTGCCCTTTAATCCACTTTGTGAATGATATGAAAAAGTCTGGACTCTATGTTTTGGGACATGTCAAAGTTTCTGAATTTTCTGATCTACCTCTTGATCCAACTTTGGATGAATATACTCATTGGCTGGCATTAGTTGACCATTTGAAAGTAAGTATTCATTCAAACATAAACAAACAAAATTAATGATGACCTGCACTGTTATTTTAAGCACTTTTTACACTTTCCGTGCTCAAAGTTTAATAAAAAAGTTGAACAATTTTTGAGAAATTTTTGAAAACGTAATTGAGGCTTCATGTAAAGTAACCGCTAAAATTTAAATATCCATTTCTAACTGTCCTTTTCATCAATCAGGGACTATAAATTTTGGACAAATTAGCTGAATGGTTTAGGTGCTAGTGTTCACTACTTGCAGATGTTTTGCTGTCAATTGATTTTCTGGTATCAAGGACCCACAAAACATGAATTCTGAATACACAAGTTAGAGGAAGTAATTTACTGTGCATATGAAGAGGGTTTATCCAATTTTTCTTAATCAGGTTCCAGCAATAAGTTTTTCTGTTGAAAAATTACATATGACTACAATACTTTCTCTTCTTATGAAGTAAGGACCTTTTCTTGTTCATATTCGTGGTACATTCTTGTTACAAAAATATAATGTTGCTTTTATAGCAATTGTTTGTTACTGTTACACTGAAATCTTGCCACTCACCATCTTACTGTGTTGTTGAGAACACGTAGATTTTTTTTTGTTGATATATCAAAAGTACTACAGTTGAGACATCAGAAAACAAGGAAGAATATGAAGACGGAAGAGCTGCTAAGAATGTCAGTAGAACTGTTTAATAGGTATTAGCTTCTGAATGCAATCTGATATTATGTCAGGAGCTTTGTTTTAGACAAAATAAAATTAAAAAGTTAACTTTTCATTCTCTTTTATAATTTCAGCAAAGCCTGATAAATTTCTCTTGGGTTTTATAAACCAAGTGTGAAAAAAAAATTGATTTTCTCCCTCAGGACATCATTTTGTTGAATCATTGGCCAGTTTTTAATTTAAAGGTCTTTTTTGATTGTTTTAATAATTGAGTGAGAAACAAAAGGATTTAATGATTGTTGAATACGAGGAAAGAAAATAGAACCAAGTTTTTGAAATTTGTTTTCAATGAGTTTTGATGTATTTCACTCTGTTCTTGTGTTAGTAAAGCCTACTTTGTATTTAAATGGAGTGTGTACAGTGAACATGTAATCTACAAAATATTTTGTTACTCTCCAGGTAAAAGCATTCATTGAACTTACAGTAGCGCATTCAGTTCGTGAAGGCATGCTTCATATGATTCGTATGTCTGGTCTGGGAGCAATGAAACCAAATACTATTGTTCTTGGATTCTATGATGAAGAAACGCCCAAAGATTTTTTTGAAAGGTAAGTTAACCTTTAATTACTTGTGTTGGCCTGTGGAGTGTGCCAGTTGCATTATTTTGCATATTGCATGATCTCTTCCACAAATCTATCTTTTGAGTTCTTGTAACAGTTTGAATTTGAGTTTCAACTGTTTCATCACAAGTGGCAGTAGTAGACTCGATGAATTTTCTAAAATGTTTACGGCGCATTGTGTGCACCATACAAGTAATAATGTGAAGACATACAAGAATGATTTCTTCTGAATGCAGTCAGTGTACAATTCATTTAGTACACATGATGACATAAAATACAATAAAATGAGTTGTGTAAAATAATATTATTGTATTTTTGTAATCATCCAGTGTAAAATGGACTTGGATTATCAGTTGCCCACTCTACATAACAAATATACTATGTTTTAAACCAAATTCATCATAATAATTTTTTTATTTATTACAGTCACATGAATTGAAGGTACTTAGCAACTCTTTAATATTTTACATTTTCGATATTTAATATTGGTTTGTGATATTATAAAGTCGTTTTGTCCAAATAAATAATATTTCTTAGTTTGCAAGAATCTACACAGTAACTACATGTTGTTATCTTCTGCAAGTATCTACATGTTTGAGCAGAACGCGTGTAGAGGAAGGTGAAATGTATTTGAGTATTTATGATATTGCTGTTTATGTGTACCAATTCAATTCTGTGACAGTAAAAGATCTTAACAACAGTAAAAATCTTATAATCTTGTTTTGGATTATAGTTCAGAATCCCAGTACAAAACATCTCTTTTTACAACTGTTGAGACATGTGAAGGAAGGCAGTTATTTGAATTACGGACCTTGAGCAACGGGAAAACCTTGGATAGTACACAGTTTGTTGGTATGATTGCTGATACTTTGAAAATGAAGAAAAATATTTGTGTATGCCGACATTTCCACAATCTTGATAAATCATCCATAATCAGGTAAGTAAACATATTCACTTAATTTCTAAATGTGTCTTTGTGTACTCCAATTGTGAAGTAGACTCTCTTATACAATCGAGAGGTTGACTGTAGAAGGGCATTATTTGAATTACGGCATTTATCCATAAAATGTTTCAAAACTTCTTTTAGGTGACTTTCTACCTCTTCAGATGGTACTGCACTAACCCCAATAGATGAGGTTTGAGAGGATTTTGAAATTCTGAACTTTGCCCTTTTTTCTTAACATCATTACCGCTATGATCTTGCCCTTTTTTCTTAACATCATTACCGCTATGATCTTGCATTATTTTATTTCCGGATTCCCCTACGCCAGGCGCCTTTTACTACGCCCGTGTGAATGTTTCACACAGGATAACTCGTGCGAGTCCCGATCGTGTAGGCCTCGCTCGCGACTGATTGCACTTTACTAGATCACAGCTCGTACTACTTTCCTAATAACGGGTAAATTCATTCCCCGCTTTGTGGTCCGAAGAATCAATTACTTCCGGCAAATTATGAAATTTCTCGGACGGCTGACTAGGCGTTTATTCGATGTCCAACACTCCTATCTAATAAACGTAGTCCTTGCTGCGGCTGACAATATCTAAGGTCTATTTATCTATACGCCTTTCAGTGTAGGGGTAGCGCGGCGCCTCCCCCTCTCCGGCTGATTTCACGTCATTTTCCAGCGCTGGCCAGCGGCTACCTCGGCAACAGCTTCCTTGGCGGCGGGCGCGCCCTTTTTGAACTGCGCCGTGCTCGCTCACTGGTTCTGTCACAGGCGTTCTAACGTGACGTGTGGGCACACATATATATTATATAATTTTTTTTTTTAGAAACCATCATTTGATAACTTATTCCAAATTCATATGAAAACATTCTATTTAGGACTAAAAGATTGGCTCATTACAAACTCAAATGAATAGATATGAAGTTATTCAAATATTTTAGGACATTACCTGAAGAATAAAATCAATTATTGCCATAATGTTAATATAATAATATTTATGTAGATGAGTAAGTTTGAATTTAACACCGTAATTGTTGAATTCAAATACTGAAAATAATGTGGAATGTTTGCTGTTTTATGATGATGCATGTGTGAGATATACCATTGTAAGAAAAGGCCAAATTGTTTTATAAACACTCTTTCAAAAGAAGGAATTTTATTGATTTTTTCACTATTCAAGATTCAGAAAATGAATAAATAATAAATATTTTTGAGGAGATGATAAATCTTATGCGTGTCAGAAAGTAAACTCATTCGTTCTTTTTTTTTCACACATTTTCTCAAGGGCTTTCTTTGTGCAATTTAACTCCTAATAATTCATATTTGTGGAATTAAATCTTATAGTAATAAATTCAACATAAATTAGTTCACAAACAATAACATTGTCAAATTCTACACCACAAAAGTTGAACATTCGATCCTTGTATCAGTAATAAGTATTTCTAATGGCATATGAGTAAAAGGAATTGAAGCTATGGTTTCAATTAGTAATAGAGTATAATGGAAGATTGGGCGAACACAAACGTGTGTAGGGATTTTGAAAATAATTTTATCTTATGGTAAAGCACAATTTTTAGATGCAGGTGAAGTAATTAAGTTGATATAAAAATTTGTTGTAAGATGAATAAAGGATTTAAAAGAATCAATTTTAAGTTCTCTGTGCATTTGTTTTTTGAGATTCTTATATAGTTATTTGATTTTACTGCCAATTATTTTAAAATTTTCACAGTTGTTTCTCACAAATAAAAAAAAAAGGGCGGGGGGAGAAATGCAATTTTGCAATATTCTGATTCTGTCATATTCATACTGAACACCTTGTTTATTTATTTGTTTCACCAAATTCACATAATTTTCTCATAATATTCATCTGATTTAATTTTACTATTCTTTTTTTTTTTTTTTTTTTTTTTTTTTTTTTTTTTTTTTTTTTTTTTTTTTTTTTGTAATCATGTTTCCTTTCTTAACCTACTCACATTCTTATCTACATTCATTGAAGTTCGACAAAATAGACACCAGCATTCAATAGAATTGCAATTCGAAAACTGTTCACTCATCAATATGTGTATCCTAACCACCATTGCTATCACACAAAATTAAGGAGAAAGTGCAAGATATTCTATTGCAAATGCACTGCAGAGTTCCCGCGAAGTCCTTACCGGGACTCTAAAGAATAAAGCAAATACGCCAAAGATGGTGTATGAAGTAACGTTGCCAAGTATCGATTATGTATTTAAGAAGGAATAGTTAAGGTGCGGTTTAGCAGCCATTATTGGTAAAAGTTTTCAATAACTTCCAAACTTTTGCTGGAACTAGCTATTACCAGAATAAGCAGGATATAACGAAGCTACACCAAACTTTTATTAGTAAGGCTGATGATGAAAAAAGCTATGAATTTCTTGTACAAATGTGAAAAATGTTAGGTGTTGTTTCATGAATTTAATGTGTGTATGGAATATAAATGTGTAATATGATGTTGGTTGTAAGCAAAAACTCAGTTTTTTTCAAATTACTTATATTCAGTCTAATGATGTTTCAGATCTTCCAATGTCAAGTATATTGATGTTTGGCCAGTGAATTTCTTCCAACCAGATGATGAGGATCCATTTGATACAACAAGTCTCTTCATGTTGCAACTAGCATGTATTATTAATATGGTAATTATGCAAAACACACAGTTTTTCATGTTTGTTGTTCTGGGAATACAAATCCTATCTCAAAGTTTTGGGTATTTTTACAGCAACTTTATAAAAATGAGGTCTTGGAAGTTCTGTTCAATGTATGTTCATTTAATAATGCATTCTCACATTTCAAATATATTTTTCCATAGTCAACTTTTAATCTGTGCGTGAAAGAAGTAGGATAAGGAGGATAATAAGAAGACAAGAAAAAGAACTAGAAGTTGAAGAAGTTACTCTCTAAAATCAGGCATATTCCCAGGTATTCAAAACAGCAAAAATTAAACCATTGTTTAAAAAGGGCAATAGTTATGATCCAATGAACTACAGACCTATCTTCCTGTTATCAGGATTTTCAAAAATTCTGGAAAGACATTTAAATGATAGACTCAAACAGTTTCTCAATGCAAATAATGTCCTTACAAATGCACAACATGGTTTCAGGAGTAATAGATCCACAGACACAGCCATCGTCTCCTTTCTAAATGACATATTTGTTGCACTATATCAGAAGGAAATTCCCATTGACCTTTTCTTAGATTTGTCAAAAGCCTTTGACATCATTGACCATCATATACTTTTAAAAAAACTAGAAATGCTAGGGATTCGAGGCATTGCAGGCCAATGGATCAAATCATATTTATCAAACCGTAGACAAGTAGTTGCCCTCCAACACACTAAAGAAAACAAAATCTCCTCATACTACTCCTGTCCTCAAATGATAAATTGTGGAGTCCCGCAAGGATCCATCCTTGGGCCAATACTATTCCTTATATACATGAATGACATGACTTTGGCTTTAAGGAACAACAAAATTGTTTTGTTTGCAGAGGACACAAACATAATCATCAAAGCAAAACCACAACAATCATTAGAAAAAAAAAAAAAAACTCTCAAAACTTTGCAAGCGCTAGTTAAATGGTTTCAAGACAACAAACTCATCATTAACACCAGCAAGACAGTCTCTCTAAATTTCATGAATTCCTGATCTAAAGAAAAACTCTCACAGCATTTGCTCATAAACAATAACCCTGTAACAATATCTCATGAAACTACCCTCCTTGGACTAACAATTCAAGAAAATCTAAAATGGAATGCTCGCATCTCAAATCTTAACAAGAAGCTCAGCAAATCTTGCTATACCTTTGCTATATATAGTGGTTAGGCGGAAGAGCAGGCCGTATGGCCTGAGCCTCGCCATTAATAAAGATTATTATTATTATTTTTATTATTATTTTCATTTTATTTTTATTATTGTTATTGTTTATTATTATTATTATTATTATTATTATTATTATTATTATTATTATTATTATTATACCCTATACACCCTCAGGTGAAGCTCCAACATTGAGACACTTCGAACAATGTATTTTGCAAATGTGCACTCACAGCTAAAATACAGAGTAATATTCTGGGCAAATGCCCCTGAAACCACTTGCACATTTATTATCCAAAAAAGAATATTGCGAACAATGACCAGCAGTCATAAGCTGGAGTTTTGCAAATCCTTGTTCAATAAACTAAGAATTCTTCCTTTACCATGCATGTATATATTTGAAATAGTAGTAGAAGAAGAACTGGGGGAGGAGGAAGAAGAAGACGAAGAACTGGGGGAGGAGGAAGAAGAAGACGAAGAACTGGGGGAGGAGGAAGAAGAAGATGAAGAACTGGGGGAGGAGGACGAAGAAGAAGGGGATGAAGAACTGGGGGAGGAGGAGGAAGAAGAAGAGGGTGAAGAACTGGGGGAGGAGGAGGAAGAAGAAGAGGGTGAAGAACTGGGGGAGGAGGAGGAAGAAGAGGGTGAAGAACTGGGGGAGGAGGAGGAAGAAGAAGAAGATGAAGAACTGGGGGGAGGAGGAAGAAGTACTGGGAGATGTGGGCTTTCTGCAGGGGGTGTGGTTATGGTGTGTCAAATTTTTGTAGCATTTTGAGACATCAAACAATAAAAAATAAATGCTGCATAGTTCACTTCCTGGACCCTCATAGACATGTTTTGCTGCAGTTCTGCCTAACTGTGGTTACATGCAAATAAAGACTGTGATGCTGCCTGCTTTGCTCCGTAGCTCTCTGCTTGCCAGATTTTCAAACTGTATCATATAGCTAATTGTTATTGAAAAATGAAAAAAAAATTAATGCTGATTTTTTTCTCATTAAATAAAGTTGTCTAGTTTTTGCATAAATTTGCTATCATGAACATTTTTGTAATAGTTTTAGTAGTGGCCTAGTGATTGTCAATTTTCTGGAGTTCAATTTCTCTTCCAAACTGTACAATACAATGAAAACTGCCACAATGGCAATGATAAAAAATTCTTGCCTTTCACGAAACTTGCTTAAAATGCAGGGGTGCTATATCAGTACAACTGCTCTCTCAGATGAATTTTCAATGCACAAGGAAGAGATCCAAACATACTTTTTTTATTAAGAATAATTCATTACTGCCAAATTTTGAGTTGTGCCAATGTGGCTGCAAATGTATGAAACATAGTGACCTACTAGAGAACAAAAACAAAAATGTTGATGTGACACATCTTCCTTTAAATGTGTATATCTTGCTTAATTTCCGAGGAAACTTTGTAAATCTTCAGGTTCCTGGTTGGAAGAAGCTCCAGTTGCGAGTCTTCCACTGCCAAGTCAATGGAAAGAAGCGTTCACCATCGGAACAGCTACGCCAGACCTCTTCGCACTCGCAGGAGACAGTTGGCAGTGCTACGTTCAATCTGGATGCGTCGACAGCAAACTCGTCACCTCCTACCCAGGACAATGAAGAGAGGCTGCGCAAACTCTTGCAAATGCTGCGCATTGCTGCCTCTATTCATCAGGTATTATTATGCCTTATCAAATCAAATGTCACCTGTAGGCAGTGCATAATTTGTAGCAGAAGTACGAAAGGATCCGATTTCACCATGCATACCTCAAGATGTGCTTTTCTATTCCCTTAAAGTCATCATAATGATCTACAGTAACTGAACAATAGACATTCAGACGGGTGCCTCCCAAGTGATTTTTAATTGCCCATATAGATCCTTTCTTAGTGATTACTAGGAACCAGATTCTATTAAAAAATATCTTTTCTTCATAGTAGGAAATTATGCTTGCTTGATATGTATGGTAAACAGCAAATTTCCAATTATTTAAAAAATATTTGTGTGTGTGTGTAATATATTGTTTATTTTGTCAATTTTCTTAATAAGCATTATATTTCTGCAAATTTTCAATTATTTTGCATATTTTGCATTGAAAACATTTTCATTAATCATTTGTTCTGAATTTATTTCAATTGATATAATTTGTATTCTAATGTGTTTCTATTTTAGTGGGTCATTGAATCTAATATCAATTTACATTTTTTAATTATGCATGGTATGATTAATACGAAAATCATTTCAAGCTGTACATTTGGATGAATCAATTCTGAAAATTGGTAATACTGACTAACACGTAGGATCTTTCGCAAAATGCTGAGGGCATTGCCGCGACAAATGAGTGAAACAGGATGTGCAAAAGAGAGGAACTTCCCTTTTTGGGTATGAAGATGGCTGCTAAGGGGTTACTAAATTGTATTCAAATATGCTTTAAATTCTAATTGTTAAACAGCGGGAGATGACAGACGAGTCGAGTCGGTCTGTAATGGCCTCGAAGCATGATGGAGACGCTCTCTCGCGTTGCTGTTGAAGATCTGGGTGTTTCCTTAATTCATTTGTTTCGTCGTCGGCCCTCTTTGCTGAGCACCCTCATTTCTTCAGACAGGAAGTCCATGCGCGCTGGGCGTCAGTGGAACACATTTGTGTGTTTGAGGTGACTAGTATGCGGGCGTCACCTTGTATAGTTCTATAGGTATTATGGTGAATTATCGTTGGCATTTCCAATGAAATAATTATATGCGTCGTCATTGCCAACAATATTGTTGGCAATGACGACGCATATAATAATTTAATTGTATAGTTCTACCTGTTTGGCCGATGATGTTACGGGTACGGCCGCGTGGTGCGGCGTGTACTGTCATTTGGATTCGTATCTGTTGCGACTCTACTCGTTTGGGGAGCGAGCGTCGGGAGGCCGCTTGTCCGTTTGGATCTATGTCCAAGCCGGCGCACGCCATCGCGCGGGATAGCCTTCCCTCTCGATGCCTGGGTGGGCTCGCGCCGCCTCTAGCTGACAGAATTTGTAGCCGTTTGGTTAGTTCGAATTCTTGCATCCCTTGCGATTGCTCGCTTATTGTCTCGCTCGTCGAAGCAGTTTATTGAGTCTCAAAATGTGTATTTCAAAATTGCGGCAGTGGCACATTCGGTTCGATCTTATATCTAGCAACCTTGCAGTAAGCATGTCTGGAGATGAGCGCATATGGAGGCTTGCGTGCGTGCTTGCCCTCCACTTGAATGCGCCTTGTGGTGGCGTCTTTTGCTCGTCCCCTTTGCGCTTGGACTCCGCCCAGGTGCGCCGCACGTGTGCCGGAAGCTGCTCCTTAACCCGCCCCACATTCAAGGGGTGGAACTGTTTCCGTGGTGGATTCTCGAGATGTGGTGAACGAGTTGCAATGCCTTATGATTGTGGACCGATTGCAACCGTCGGCAGTGAATATGGACTTTTAAGTAGTTCCCGCTCGTCTGGGCTAATTTAGTAATGTTTTGATAATAATAATTTTTCAAGAGGAATTAAGCCTGTGTGCGTATTTGCCAATCTAACAAGGTAATGAATAAAAACAACTAATATGACCGAAATAATGCAAAATAAACAGTTAATAGTTGTTTTTGATTCATTATAGTTTTTATCTTGTAGAAAACAAATGAAATATCTCAATTTGTGTTATTGTGTTTACATGATTGGATCATTTAATGTTACTATCAATAAATATTCCGAGATGTGTAGTCAAGTAAACTCATGTGTAGACTCAGATGTGTAGTCAAGTAAGATGTGTAGTCAAGTAAGATTACATTGGGACATGCTCATTAAATATTGTCTTGTACTAAGGAATTTTTATCATGTACTTTTAACTCAAATTTTTGGGTAACTAGCATACCATATAAGATGACAGTTTTTGAAACATGCAGACTTAAATAGTTACTACTTAGTCAGTTTGCTATAATACTAATTTTTGTTTGTGACAATGATTTAACATCGTTCCAAGAGTCTCCTTTTAAAAGAATGCATGCATCTTCTGCAAATGGAGTAATTTCTTTCTCTGGTAAAATTTCATAAAAATCATTAATATATAATATGAAAAATAAGGCGCTCAATATGGTACCTTGAGGAACTTTGCAAGTGACTATCAAATCATCACTTGTCGTTATTTATTCTAACTACTTGTATCCTCTTGATAAGATAACTTTTCATTAGTTTCAGAGTGACACCTCTAATGCCATACAATACTTGTCAAGGAGTATTTGATGGTTGACAGTATCAAAAGCCTTGGTCAAATTCTAAAATAGTTAGATATGGTTTATTAGTATATTAATTGCAGTATAGGTTTGATCCGTTACACATCCATTTTACATTTTGACCTATTAATTGTTTCTAAAATTAAGTTGATAAATTTTGTAAAGGCTAAATTAATATTAGTTTTGTAGAAGATATCATTCCAATTGATGTTAGAGATTTCTTTGATCAGTATGTAATGGTTTATATTGAGTTTAGTACTACTATTTGAATATTGTGATATAGGTTGCAAGGTGATCAGATAGATTAAGATCGCAGACAAAAGGAATTTCTTCTTGATCCATAGAATGTGTGTACATCTGCACATGACATTTATTTATAACATATTAAGAAACTATGTAATTCAAAAAAATTGAAATACAATTTTTAAAATAATAATCTAAAACAAGCTGTAAAATGTTTTTTATTGATGTCACCCATAATTACGTAAGCACAGAGCATTGAGAGTGATGTGTGGCTTGTATGGATTGCAGGTGCCAGGCTGGTCCCAACAAATAGCAGCTCTGCACGGGGGATCCATGGCGATGGCTGGCACACATGCTGGCACCAGCAATGGCGAGGAAGAACCTCCTGCACAGCCACTGCTGAACAATGTTTCTCGTGCTTATCTGCTCAGGTGAGAATTTAAAACTTTGTGAGGTGCACTGAAGTGTTAACCAAAGAATATTAATAGCCTAGGCACCCAATTGTAATAGTGTTGCATTAGGTGTCTCATGATTACAGTTAATTTGATTTAAATATAGTGACATCACAGATTATCAGCTGTGACATGGTTATCTAATTGAGAGCTTCGAAATCTGAAATTAGTCACAATGAAGCACCAGATTGGATAACCACATTCAGCTGATGATCTGTCTCAAGTATATTTAAATTGGATAACAGGAACTGTGTATGTTTCATGTTCAAATGCAGTATAATAATCTTCAGTTTTTAAGCAGAAGCATTGTATTCAAAATAACACAAAAATGAAAAAAAAATTAGGTTCTCGGGTAAAGCACCTAAAAAAATGAATTCATTAAAATAGAACACAGGTGAAAAATGAGTTTTTCTGTCAAATATTTTCCGCTTTCTCCCACAGCATTACATAACTTTCTTTTCTTCAGTGCAAGAAAGTAATACTTCAATATTAGTTTTCATTGACATCTTCAAATGAGTGAGAAACAACAGCTGTTCACTCTGGCCATATCCTCATTCATTTAATTTTTGAGGGAGTATCTTGCCTCAGATAATAGAATCTTGGTTTACGGATTCCCTGCTGAATGATGTAAATTGCGATACCTCTTTCTTTCATTGTAAGTTTTGATGCAGATTGAGGTGTTTTTCTTTCCTGAGGGTGCAACAGAGAACTAAAATATTCCATTTCAATTGCATAACAGAACAAATAACTATAAAGGGGAGGACCTCAATGCTACACCCCTTAAATCAGCCTTTATCATGTAATAGGTTTAATATGTTCTTAAATGAATACTTTTCTTTTGAGTATCAATCAAATGTAAAGTGAAATTATTTCTAATAATCCTTATTATTATTATTTGGTTTCCAATAGATTATAAAAACTTGTACTGACATATATAACCCTTCATTCTAGTGTTAATCAGATGATCCAAAGGCATTCAGAACAAACTGCTGCAAGTTTCATCTACCTGCCACCTCCTCCATCGTTACCGGTTTGGGAAGAAAGGGAAGTTTATCCTCAGTTTCTGCAGTTACTCACAGAGCTCACTGCTGACCTTCCTCCAACCATTTTGGTCCACGGTGTCAGTGCTGTGACATCTACAACTCTGTGATGTGGAAGGTAACTAGCTTTTGTAAAATACCTCTAGTGGATAGTATGTAACTAAAATGTGTGGTGTGATGTAAGTAATAAAAATGTCAGTATTGAATTTTCATAATACTGCAATTTGTTTAATTGCTGGTATGTATGAGATGTCTTTCACATGAGCTACACTGCTTTGCAGTTTGGATATTCATGACAAGCACAATAATTTCATTCCATGTTGGAGCACCATAGTGTGATATGCAACAGGTGATAGTTTTTGCTTTGAACATTTCTAATGTTAACTTCATGTATTTATGTAATGTATATTTTAAAGTATTGTTTCCTGCAATTTTAATATTCTATTGCCATTTTAATAGATATTTTTATTTATGAATATTATTATATCTCCATGATCCTTTGGTATTACAGTAATATAGTCAGTGTTGAAGACAAAGTCTTCTTGTGCGTTTCCTCCTTTTGTTATATTGAGCATTGATGAATGATATAGTGTATATATTTGTCACATTGTATTTGAAGAGCAATTGGCTGATAATAAAACCAGTCCATTTTCACATGCCTTATGGTTGAGGGTTGATGTTGCCCATTGCAACCAGTGCCAAAAGCTTTTGAGGAACAGTCTTACTGGAACCGAGTGCTGTGCAGCTGGAGAATTCTCAAAACTTATTTAAGCTTTAAATCTCTCTAAGATTTTGCCTTTTCAAAAACGTCCTAGAATAACAGTAGCACATCTGGTATTGATGTTGTTTACTGTGCATATTGTACTTGGAAATATTGTCCAAGGTGTCAGTCTTCATTGAAAGCATTTTAAAAGTCTAGTTGTTTAATGTTCTAGTTGTGGTATTTCTGCCATTGTTTGATACAAACGTAGGGGCCTCGTTTCTAAGTCTCCCATTAAAACAGTGGTTCCAAGGAGGAGTTGAAGCAACTTGTGTGGTCCAGAATTTTCTTATTGAAGAGGGATTGATGTTCACTGCTCTTCAATTTTTGGACTTAGTGAGGCATTGTGCCTGTGTAGAGAGTTTTTAATTAGTTGTAATTTGTTTTAAATGAGATTAAGTCTTTCATATGTATATTGGGCCAAAGTTGTTCTTTTTTATGGGTTTAGAGTACTTGACATGGAACATAAGTATGCAGTACAATCTTTAAGCTGTATAATAAGTTAGTAAATGCGCATAATAAATACACTTGTATGTTGTATTTATTGGAATGAAAGTTTGTTTTGTTCAATTGAATAAGAGGCTGTGATGCTGTTTGTCAGCGTGTTTGTTATTTCACAGTTTTAGAACATTGTAGACAGACTTGAAAGCTTTTTACATAGTGGACCGGTGGAACAAAATATTTTTGAACAAGTATTGTATCAATCATTTTACACTTGATATATTGTAAACTGTTATTTCTGAAAATGTTAATTAATCTAATATAAAAATGTAATTTTTCAATGTTTGTGTTTTTTAAATTATAAAGTTTATAACTATTAAGGAGATACAATAGCTCATAATCAAATATGAATTCATATGGGGTATTGGAGAGAAGATGTACACATACTACAACACAGGAGAGTGGATAGCAAGTTGAATTATATTAATAAAAATCTAATCTAGGTATTTAAAGTGGGCTGACAAGTAAGTAGATGATTAGCAATACAATTTGATATCTCATATATGTATTGGCCTAATGTTTCTCTCGTTCAGATGGATATGTTTATGCGTGTTCTGGAAGATATTATTTTTTTGTAAGTCTGTAATACATAGTTTCTATGAATATTGAGTTATTCATGCTGATTTTATGCAGATTATTAGAAATACAATTTGCAATATGTTTGTATGTATGTAACAAGTTGATAATCATCAATGCAAATGGACCAAAGTTATTTTATTGCTTGTAAAAGTAAACATAGTAATCCATATTTAATATGCATCTGATGCAACATGGAGAAATTCCTGTAATACATACTAACAGAGCAAATATTTGTGTGTGCAGTTAAGTAGGCTCAGAGATTTTTAGTGAATTTGTAGTGAAAGATGTGTGTTCTACTTACTCATGGTCTATTCAAAAAATACACATGCCAAAAATCTGCATTTTTATACACCCATAAAAAAAAAACAAAAAAACAAAAAAAACAAACATATATGTTAAACATTTCGGAATGAGGGGTGATTTAAGAATGAATAATTTCTATAAAATGTAATCATTTATTGCTCTAAAATTGTTTTGAAATTAAAATTTTATGATCTTCACTTCCCGATTTTTGTAGCATATTGAAAAGTATGCACTTCTTGATTGTATTGTAAGTATGAAACAAAATGAATTGCAATTTTTAGGAATAAATACCAAATATTTAATTAAGTCAACTTTTCTACTCTTTCTATAAACAATTTAGTAAAGTCAACTGCATGTATGTATTTTTTGAATGACCTTGTAATATGAGCATGTTAAGAAAGAAAAAAGAGTGCTGCGTGCTCTCTTCCGGAAGTTGTTCAGACAGTTACAGTGCTGTTGTTTGCTATGATAATTCTGTGCCTCATTGCTGCCTTTCTCTAGTAGAATTTTGATATCAGCTATTTACTAAGGCATGATGCTCAAGCTGTAGCTGATTGCAAAATATTTTCTGCTTCATTTGTGAGCTAAATAAAACTATTTTTAAAAGTAATATTGACTTGATTGTCACTTAAAACATTTTTTGTATACTTACCAGGTCAATAGCTTCAAATGCGTTGTCATTTGCATGTGAAGGAACTAAGCCTTCCATCATAAATCATTTTGATGTAACACAGGAATTTTTATCATTGTTACAGTAGCTTGTATGGAAGACTTAAATTTGAGTAAAATATTTATATCTTTAATAGTAATAATATTAATAATTATAAGGAAAATAATAATAGAATAGTAATAATGATAATCTCATCCTATCTGTGGTGAAGTTCGCTTTGCTGTGATGTTTTTGAATAAAATATATGGCAGTATCTAATCTGTAATTAATAAATTGACTGTTGTTTAGGGGCCGTCCATAAATTACATAACACAAATTTGGAGTATTTCGAATACTCCCCATAACGCATGCTTGAATCCCTCTAAAAATTACTTGTGACCAGCACCTCCCCCCCTCCCAACTCCTGTAAGTGAAGCCCAATATAACTTATTATACTCAAATGAGTTGTATTAATTGTATTTGTGTTATACATTAAAATTGATTATAATTAACATGAGAATTGGTGGTGCAGGCTGTGCATAACAGTAAGTTTTGGGACAATTTATTTAATGAAAGGCTAGAAAATTTCTGACAAGCCGTGCAAATGCCGATGTGAATGATGCATTGGCTCAGTCTACTGTACCAACTAATTTCATTCTAGAATGAACTATAGATCAGTTTTGAATTTCATTTGTTAATCTGAAAATCTTTTAGTACAAGACTGAATAAAAGAAGTTATTGCAGCAAAAGTTGAAATAAATATCAGCATCATGTAACACTAAACTGTAACCCCCCCTACACCTCTAACAGCGTAACGGCTGCTCAAAGGCGCCCCCGTCCCCACCCTTCGCATTACGGTGAATTTATGGATGACCTTATGGGTCTAATGGAGAGCGCATCTCTAAAACATAAGTGCGCTTTCTTCAGAGAGCATTCCTTGATCTTCCTCGAGACCAATGAATCCAAAGTAGCTTTTGTGCTAGTAGCTGCTATGTTGTAAGGCAATCTTGGTTTTAACTACTTTTCTTTGAAAATCTCCAGTGTATATTTTAAGGCCCTCCAATCGACTTTCATATATCTACTAAAGTTTCACAGTTGAATTTACCAGTCTTGTGTAATGGATAAAATTCAATTTTCAATTTAAGTCAGAGCAATGTGTTACCCTCATTTTTGAAAACCAGAAGGGGGGGGAGTTTATTTAATCCAGACATTTGTTTGTGAATACACTTCCTGGTGGTTTCTACACATATATTGTAATTTTTTGAACATATGAGGTTTTTATTTTCAAGTGTAAAATTAGAGTTATCATTAACCTGGCACAACCTCTTTACAACAATAAAATTGAGTATTGTCAAGTTAGGTGAAAAAATTCCTATAATATTGAACATGCTTTTTCAACTCTTAGTTCTTACAGACAAAATAATTTCCCAGGCCCACAAGATGGACTCACTGTAAAGAAAATATAATTCCATAATTTTTATAAAGAAACCTTGTGTTGGAAATACACATTTTATTCATATGCTCTTCATATTGAAAATAAGCTTAAATTAAACTGGCACAAATGTACTTTTTTAATATTCCTGCGTCCATAGAGAGAATATTGCAGCAAAAAGAGAGAGAACATAGCTTTAAAAGGTGATATGTGAACACCAGGGCCTCTGTCTGTGTGTGATTATATATCTTCATGTCGAGATGCAATTTGCAATGAAGGTCATTGTTAACTGTGTGTAAATTCAGTTTTAATTCTGATGTGATTACAGATGGAAACTATTCAATCTTTAGCTTGAAATGGATCCATTGAACATTCTCTTATATCCCACAAGGTTATTCTAGTGTGCTCTGGAGCATGCAATTCTGTTAGAATTTCAACATATATATTCAATTATATCCATATTTTTGAGGGTCATATTGTTTCGATTTCTCTTAAAATAGGTCCCTTTTCAAATTTTGGACAGCAGACAATTTTTTCAATTATTTTATTTCATTATAATTCAAATTTAATCTTATGTCTATGTTTTACCAGTCTTTAAAGACATTTTGAGAACTTTTATCCCCCATCTTCAGGTCTAATGAAATAATACAATTCATTGATCACATGATAAGTTATACATTTAGGAATTAAGATAAATTGTATTATTTCACCAGATCTGAAGATGGAAGCCAAAGCTCTTGGAAATGTCATTGCATTCTGGGAAAACATTGAGATAAGATTAAATTTGAATTGTTATGAAATAAAATAATTGAAAAGATTGTCTGCTGCCTTTCTTAAGAGAAAATCTTCTCTAAGAAGACAGTATAAAGTTGTATAAATATTATTTCACTTGTTTCAAGCAATAATATTTGTTTAATGGAAATAAAGCCTTTCACAAAAATGTCCTCATTGTTGCCGTTGCCACACACTGCCTATTCGTAATGAAAAAAAATTTTATCTGACCTCAATATAAAAACAACATAACTAAAAATAACTGAATTTTGTTGAATAAATATTACACTGCCAGTTAAGTATAAATAAATTCTTATATTCTACTAAAAATGAATATGCATGATAAAATAGAGGTTGATAAATTTTCACATCTTATTGGCTGAAGAAATATTACGTATTGAAGTACCATTTAATGTCAGTATTAATACCCATTTCTATCTTGTAGAGAATAGCTTGTAAATTCTAGTACAGCTTATTGGCGGCTATGGTGTAACGGTTAGCATCTCTGACTGATATACCCATGTTCGCGGGTTAAACCTGATCAACACCAGGGGTGAAAAAATCCTTCAGAGGGGAAGTAATGCCGGCTATCTCATGTTAGTACATTTACCGCGTTTTTTTGAGGAGGGGGAGGGGGGGCCCCCCATGGATTGCAAATCCAGCCCTCTCTCCCCTTCCCCCTCTCTCTTACATAGCTGCTACAGTTCTCTGCAGTGTGGAAGGGAAATTCATAAAAGTATGTCTCATTGTTAGCTCTGCTCAATGCTTCAAAATCTATTTTCAACCATTGATTTCAGGTATGGATCTACTAGATTGAACAAAAAAAAAATTCACATTTCTTTCTCTTTAATATTTCATTATTTATCGAGATGTTTAATACAGTTATATTGATTGGTTTGTGGAAGAGCATCCAAATAGCAAGCATAGAAGAGCATAATTTGCTGTCGGCTTAAGAAAATAGACTTTTTTCCCCTATTAAAATCACCTGATATTTGCATATTTTTATTAACTCTTTTAGGCCTGCAGCATATACAGAGTATGTCACACAAATTCGTAGCTTTTCTTTCCTGGAATTTCAATAAGCTCGTAATGCAAATACTTCTTAATACCCTACTGCCGGCCCTTTCTCTGCTGCCTGCATGTCAATATTTTGCTTTTCTCAAATCTGATTAACAATGGATGATCCTTGGCATCTTGGCATACCCCAGAGGCCAAGCACTGACTAGTGTAATTTTTTTATTTTTGCAATTCAAAGTATGTCTTGCATTAGTCACGCTCTTCTAAAAGCCACATAACTTGCTTTGAGATGAAATAACATTTGGAATTTGTCCAAACATCATGTAACATATTGTAATTTTAGGAAAGTTTTGTGAAAAACTGAATGGAGATATATTAAAAATGTTTCAAGAGCTCTCCAAGAAAACTCAGATTAATGACAACACATCTGATAGAGCAGATAACAACAGATCTGCTGGTAATATTCAAATAATTTGTTTATTTATTGCACTTATTTCTAATTCATAGAAAATTTGTCCATTTTATATAAAAGAGATCTTAAAAAATAAATCCAAAAAAATATTTACCCTATAGAAATAATTACGAAACTAAGACATAACAAGCTGCTCATAACATTGTTGATACAAACCTTTTCAGATTTCTACCAACGCAACTTCAACATCATCAGCAGTTTTACACGTTCTGGTAATTGGAGTATTAGCTGAATGTAAATATTTATAATGCCATCTCACATAGAAGATGGTTGTTGCATATTGAAATGTTGGCACTCTTTACATTCTACTGATTGAACAAAAATAGACAATGTTACCATTTAATAACCCCCTCCAAGAAAACAAGTTTGCAACTGCCCTTCACAATTCACAGACAATAATGACAACATGCAACCTCGTGGATATAATCATATTTATTATTTATTTATGAAGCAGCTTCAAGCCCCATAATGCATGCAGCAATCCTGAAAAATGTAGGCCGAATCATTTCTACTCTATATTGTTCGCAAAAAATAGTAATCAAACTACTTACGAGAACTTCAGTACAGTTCTAATAATCAGGTATCTCAAAGCAGCAAGTGCAAGTCATGACCCATTCCTCTCATGAATACCAGCAATTGGCTTGCTCTGTGAACAGAGAGATGAATGTGATCATTGCAGGACATTCTGGAGTCAAAAAAACTCACATGAATGTCAACATCTCCAACACTAGACTTTATAAAATTTTCAGTGTCAACTACCACTCTAAACCTGGAGAAAGAAACTAAGAGTTTAAAACTAAATCATTACTGTGCCAAACAGCAAGAAAATCAGCAACTTGCAAATCAACTTTCTCTTGATGAATAAAGCTTTTAAATAGGCTATTTTCATGGCTCGCCTGTCATAAGCTGTGTCCCTGTTGCATCCTTGAGTCTATCCACCGCATAATTACTAATTCATTTTTATAAGAAAGCACTGCACAGCAAATTACAAGAAGCATACATTAAATGAGCTTCCTTCTTGCTAATAATTGAATCTTAGTCACTTGTTATGGCAAGATAGAAACTTAGGTTTCACTAATGATTTTTCTTTCACTGTTTTTCTTGAAATGGGTGGGAGTGTAGTACATGGATGAACTTAAAAATAAAATATCTAAAGCATTATCAAGGCCATAATTCTCAGATAATAAATACAAGTATTAATTGCTGAGATAAGGCAAAATAAAAATTTCAATAAGAATATTCTTAGATCCAATTGTCTTAGAAAATGTCATCAAAGTGAGAAAAAAGTTACAAATAAGCTCTGGTGTTGAGGAGTATCAGCTGTCACAACTGCTTCACAAAATTTCGTAACCAAATGACAACAAAATAATAAAAAATATATCATGCATTACTCTTAGTATTTAATTGAAACGAGTTCTTAAAGCTAATAGTGTCAGCTAATGATCCACACAATTCATTTGATGAAGAGCAGCAGTTCCTGAAAAATCAGGATAGCTTGCCATACTACCATGGTTCCATTTTACATTGGATAAATTGTAATTTCTGACAACCAACCAATTTGCGTTAAGATATTCCAGTTGGTGAAATTTCGTCATTGACAAAAAATAACACTTGAATATGTAGGTGGATGGATGTTAAGCATTAAGAGCAAATAATTAAATTGGATTTTTGAGAAAATAGGTGTACAAATAAATGCTCAACATTGCTAGAAAACCCAAATTGCATGCACCCAAGTAAATTTCTGATACTAATTAGTACTCAATTTCCCCTTGAAAATACTATTGCAATCATTTCTAAATATAAAATTATCTCATTTAAATTCTGAAGTAGAAATATCCGAGACTAAGTAAGGGTTAAGATCTCAATGCTCTAAAGTATAATCTTGGCCTCTCTTACATTTTAGTTATACATTTTAAAATTGATCATCCTTGTGCATTTTGTGGGTTTATTAAGATTTTTACCAATCAAGTCTCCAATTTTTAGCTGACCATTGAAGTATTTACTAGTCTTTAAGCCATTTCTATAGAATGGTTCTACACAGGATTGATTGCTTGAAAGGTTTTCTGCCTTGTGAATGGCAGACGGTTGTTGGTTAATTTCCTTTTCTTTGCAGGTGTGTAAACATGACATTTAAGGTTTATTTATTGAATAAAAAGATTTTAGGATCTTATCTATGTTGCATAAAATTTATTCATCCATTTAATTGAACACGCTAGTTAATGATTTACCATTTGCTCACACAAAAAGTCATGCAGTAAATGTTACAAAATTAAATTACAAAAGTGAAACCAAACATTACATTTGTAAAAGTAACAATTTCCACATGTTCAGTTTTATTTATGTTCAGAGAAATTTAGTATGTTAATGCTCAAAAGCTATTGACTAGTCTCCCAGTTCGAATTTCAATTTTGTGCGTTCTATCCATTTTAATTTAAACACAGTAATAAGGTTCTAACAAAATTACCTAACATCTCCAAAATCTAGCACAATTATATATTAATAATTCTGTTGACTCCTACCAATTTTGTTTCTTAGGATTTAAAAAAAATAATTTTTTGATTCTCATAATAAAATTAGGTATTTGAAGAATTTCACACACAATTACTCTAACACGTATGTCATATGTATATTTTAATAGCAAAATATATATACTATTAAAATACATTGGATGCAAGCGGTCTTTTCACGAAGATAAAGCATCATTATTGGAATATAGTCATCAATCTGTACTAACAGTTGGTGAAAAAAAAAGAAGTTAAATTTGATTTATAAATATAAAACTGCTCAAGAGGAATTTACAAATTTAAAGTATCCCACAATGAAAGAAAGTAAAGTTTCACCTCTCCTGGCTGCCCTGCTCAGATATCTATCATGTACTCCTTAATGTGTGAAGTTCTTAAATTCCCAGGACTCTAGAATGTTTTAACGAAAACTAAACAATGAAAAATGTATTTATTATAATGCAATATTGGCTTAATACTTTGAAACCTTCTTCTCACTGGATTTCTCAAGTTCTATATGAAAGAAAGAACAAACAAGATCTTTATGGTAAGTTTAGAGAAGTTACTTACTTTGAAATGCTTGAAATTTGTAGTTCTAGTAAAACTTTGCTCCTCAGACTTGGATGTTTGACTACATCTTTGATCTGGAATTTTGAACAACTATACAATTTACCAGGATGAAATGGGCGGTATTTGGTCTAATTTGATTGTGATCCCAAGAATATCTAAAATGTTGTCAATACATTTTTTGTGTTAGTAACTTAAGATCTTAAAACCAACCAAACAAAAAACAATTATATAATTCGGTGGCCGATTGAAATTAAATAAGTCCAATTCAATTGGAGCTAGTAGTAACTAAAAGTAGAAAAGTTGTCACAAAACAAACTTACTATTTTTGCTCTTTCAAGGTTTAAAACTCTCATAACTATCGCTTCTAATATTTTATTCATTTATTATCTGTCCAATCGAAGAAAATGTCTATAGGAATGAGCGTGGCAAGACATATTTCTACAAAGTTAGTTATAAATCAGAACCTTGCAACATTAACTGTCAATATCGAAAGTAGTTTCTTGCTCAATTGTGGTTTGTGGTGTTCGAACAGTAATCTTAACGACAACACTTGATTTGGTCAAATTTTTCGGCTTCATGCTCGGCGGTGACTTAGTAATATTTTGACTTTCGTTGCAAGATTTCGTAGGATTGGACTCAGAGGCAATCGAACTGGGTTTTGTTGAAGGTTCCTCAGTTTTCTCGATAGATGAGCTGTATGAAGGGGTTTTGCTCAGAGGTGCAAATGGCTTCGTGTTGCATAATTCACTGCCGCAACAACCCGTAGTGGCAGAACTGCTCTTCGTTTTCCCATTGGGTTTTCTACACGAAGATGCTTTACTCTGTGCTGTAGGTGGTTTGGCGTTGCTGGAACCACTGCGGCGACTTGGCACGGCGACTGAACCGGGCTTGGATAATAGTACATTGTTGGTTTTATTGGCAGGTTTGCTGCGAGACGTGATTTTGTTCTGTGGCGCCGACGGCTTACTGTAGCAGGAACCACCACCGCGATAATTCACTGAACTGGGTTTGTTTGAAGATTCCTTCTTCAGCGTTGAAATGGGTTTGCTGCATGAAGACGATTTGCTGCTATGCACTGCTAGCGACTTTCTACCGCAGAAGCAACCACCGCGGGAAGACATTGCGAACTAAGCTGAATTCTGGTTGCCAACGGGGGAGGCATCAAATTTGCCCCTCCTTTACTGACGTATCATATTACGTCAGTAGCAAGTAAGTAGGTAGGTAGAAGGTGGGGGTAGAACGACCTTTGGAAGGCAATCTAACAAAATGCATTTGTTTGTTTTACATTAACTAACCTCGCTATTAAAGAGGTGTCTGCTTATCTAGACTTTCCCAAGATACAAAAACATTATATGTTTGCAAAACATAAATTTATTAAATCACTATATTATGATTTTGCGCGATTAGGGTATCTGAGACATCTCTAGCGATTTATATATCTAGCGATATGAGAAAAAGTTGCCATCGAACACAGCGAACAATATTTCGAGAGTGGACGTTTCCTGAGACGAGATGCCCCTGATCTATCTCTCGTGCTTCCGAGACATTCAGTTGTGCATTAATTTTCCGTCCTCCCGCCCAGTCGTGGGGTTGACTGAGCGTCTGCGCGAGGCCCGAAATTTAGCAACATTCAACCTTTTCCGAAAAAAATTAAATCCTAATTTGGCAATGATGCTATCAAAAAACGTACACTTTCAAGGCTCCTAACGGGATCGACATGTAAAATTCTCGTGTAAAAGTAGTAAAAACAGTATATAGTGTTGTAGATATCGAGCCGCCAGTGACATTTCCGCATATTGAAATGTTATTGAAATTTTTTTCTAACAATTTCCTTATCTAATACATCCCGAGAAAAACATTTTCAGTTTCCAGAAGGGCGAAGTTATTGAAGAATGGAAGAAGAAAAACTAAATAACGAAGCCATTTTGTACGTTGAACAGGAAATATTATGCCGCATTGGCACTGTCACGTAATGAAATGATTTTGCAGAAAATAAATCAAGAAAGAAATTTATATTTTAAAAAAATTAAAAATAAATTAATTGAATATGCCTGTAACCGTATTAAATTTTTTATTCCTTTTCAATTTTTGTGTTTAGGTTATGTGCGTTTTCTTGCAACTTCTTTTCTTTTTCTTTATGCTCATTTATTAGCTTTTTCGTTTCGACCAATCCCACAGAGTGAGGGAATTTATTGAAAATGGATTTGTTTTTCAATTCGAAGTTGACATAATGATTTTCCAAATTCAAATGTTTGTGAACTAATGCTACAATATGAACCTGTGGATTGTTTGGCCGTTTATGTCACATCAAATGACGAAGACAAATAAAATGTATAAATAAGTAGCAGAAATGTTAATTTCCCGGAAGAATAAGTTATTTATGAGAGGTTGTAGTGCCTGTAACGTTCGAGACCTTTTCAGTGCCCAAAATTGAAAATGTAAAAATACTTTCAACGGTTTTGTAGTAGTTTGAAGTTAATACCGAAAGATGCATCTTTGGGGGATGTGACATCAACGTAAATATTTCTGAACGTGGGTTACAAAAAATTGCTTACATCAATTAAAATAATCAACTGCCGACGTAACATAACCGACATGACTTAATGTTGATCAGAAAAAAACGTGATACCGATTGTGTATACACCAAGCTTGCCGGAAAAAACAGTGGTCGTAGATTCAAAGAAACAAAAGTGAACTAGATACGCAGAAAAATCGTTTCATCGTTTCCACGCATCATTTTTGTTTGATAGTCCTGAAGGACGTTTAAGAAAATGGTACAGATCTCATGTTCGTTGAAACCCTGAATTTTCGAAAATTGCAAAAGTTCAAGATGTTTTCGGAGTCTTCCTGCAACTGCAATTATGAAAATAGACATTTCCCCCCTGAATGAAATGTGTTTCTTAAAGATAGATTTTGAAATATGATCATGTAGAAGTTTTCGGAAATTTGAATACTTTTCGCGTAATTGTGTGTGAGCATACGTGCGAGAAAGCATGCGCCGTTTGAGCGCTAGTGTGGAGTGCTGGCAGGAGGCCTGACGCGGATGTGCTTGCGCGGGGCGCCCCGGTCACCGAGAAGTAGCGCAGGCAGAAAACCTGCATCGTGAATGGGCGTGTGCTTTCTCCTGGTCCCGTGGCCTTCGACGTGGAAAAAGGGAATGCAAGGAAATGCTTTTTACAAAAATGCAATGTTAACAACAAATGTCTTCTTTCTCAAACTCAATGTCTGATCTCCGGAGCAGTTGTACCTGTTGCAAATTCTGATGAACTAATTTATCGTGCCATGTGTTCAACGAATCCCCTTCTGGGATGCACACTTTTTTCTCGAAATTGCTTGTCACCTTGAATTTTATTTTAATCAGCTTCTGATCTCGCGTACCCACTGCAACGATATTTCCCTCTCGAAGCAAGTTACATGACGTTTTGCGGATCCTTCTCCAGAGCCGCGCCCGCGAAAAAAAGATTATACTTAATATGCGGTAGGCATAGAACGTTTCATTAGTCTCTACTTATTTATGTCCGTCGAAAGCTGTAGTGTTGATGTCTCCTTGGCCTAGTCACCATTTCCCATACGTACAGGTAAACTGTAATATATGTAAAACTTACGAACCAATCATGTTCATTTATGCGGTCACCTGCTTTGCTTGCGAATCAGTTAGTCACAATAACATCTCTTTGAAGAACGCTTCGCCCTGAGCTTGATTCGGATGTTTACTTTATGATTTGTTCTGAGACTGATTTTGAGAGTGATTTGTTCCCTTTCTTTTCTGGTCTCTGCATTTCTTTGCCATGTGATTAGTCTTACCACACACATGGACATGTTATTAGGGCCCCTGGAAAGATATTTCCGCCACTGGGTCTGTGATATAAGCATGTGGCGCCTCCTATGTTACCGTTGCCGTGCTAAAACGCACGAGGAATGACAGAGCCATCGCAGTGAGACACGTAGGGACGTGCGGTGAGTCGGATGACAAAAATATATATATATATATATATATATATATATTATATATATTTATATATATATATATATATATATATTCTCGCACCCTGAAGATCCTGCTCCTAGATTTTTAAGCTCGCTTCAGAGTAAAATCTTAATAACCCACTTACGGTTCATGCGTGCTACTGTGAAGGTGTAAGTTGTACGAGGTAGGTGGGTTGGCTAGAATATATATATTTAGTGGCGTTGAGACAACCCCACAACACACTTGATGCTTCAGCGAAGCCAAGACGGGTTCCCGTAACACAGGCGCGCCAAACAATTAGCGGAATAAACAGCGCGATCCAGCAGTAATCCACCAAAAGGTATGGTGGCCATCTTCCCTTATATCGCCTTTCCATAACCGCGATATTTTGGTGAAATCGCTCGCCAAGTTCGGCTCTCAGATCTCCAAGATTAGGTGGGAAGAAATCCAAATGGGAATGAAGGAAATGTAATTTCAGAGTCATGTTGCATCCCATAGCCTTTTAACGTTCGAACATGTGTTCCCCAGTTCCCTATATTTCTCAGACATTACTTTTCCCAAGAAATTGTCACATACGTCTTTCAATGCAAGCCAAGCCTCCTCAATATCTGATTGCAACTGTTCAAAGGTAGTCTCTTTCAGCAAGTCACAGATCAGATGCTCAATGAAAATTCGTTCTTTAATTTTTGTAGTACTAAGCGCAGGAACTTTAGGCAGTCAAAATTGAAAACCCTGGCCATCTTTGTCCAATAGTTTCACGAAATTCTTCATGAAGCCTAATTTCAGATGGAGTTGTGATAACAGCAGACTGTTTTTTTCAACCACGGGTTCATGCGACACATTTTTTACCAGGATTGTACATTTCTCTCAACGGCCACATAAAGGCCTTTCCTTGCCCTACTATCCCAGTGACACAAGAAACAGCAATATTTTGTATAATCAGTCTGCATTCCCAGAAGAAGTCCCAGAACTTTGAGATCACCTTAAATTTACATTTGTGATTTGAATAGCCAGTATACTACAGGAGTAGCTTCATGTTCTCGTAGGTTTCCTTTAACTGATTATTGTTACTGGTCTCTGGTATCGAATGTTTCTCGTTTCCGTTATGTAAAAGAACAGCTTTTATATTACGCTTTGACGATCCTATAAATAGGCGCTATTCTTCCGGATTGTGAATCATCGCAAATGTTCTCAGCAGTTCATTCATGTCATTACAATACACCAACCTCTCTGTCATTGAGAAAAAAGGGGAAAGATTAAGCTGTCGATTACAGAATGTAATTCTAATGTGTGATTGTAATAAGTGCTTTTCATGAAGACGAGACCCAAGTAATTCTGCTTGTCTCTTTGAAAGATTTAGATCTCTTACAAGATCGGTCAATTCTGCCTGCGAGAACGACTGTGGTTGTAGCCGTGCTGCAGATGGCGTGTAATCAAGATCGTCATGATGTTCATGATCTGTTGGTTTGTCACTACCATCGTCTGTTTCATCTTCCAGTGTCCATTCCGTTGGTGGCTTTGGAACTGAGAGAGAACCAGAATGCGTAACTGGGCGCATTGCTGATTCCAAATTGTGATAAGAAACTGTGTGTTTTGATCTACTTGATATTCCTGTAATATGCGTTAATGCAACTGCACATTTCCTTTACCTGCCCCCAGCGTCTATCTCCCCCTCCCCTCTCTACTCCCAGCATTAACCAATAATTTTCCTAAAGTAACAATGTGATAAACGCCGCGACAACATAAGTAACGCTGCCGATCGCAGATAAAATTGTGTTTCCAGAAGAAAGTTTAGGTGATAGCGAAAAATGGTTTTCACCGTCATCAGGGCACTGCACTACATAACAAACACATCTTTTTGTTCAGCGGTAAATTTCACTATCGCACTGTGTTATCGTCCAGTTAGCTTGTTGCGAGCTGGGGTTAAAATGAAAGAGTACTTCCAACACACCTACTAACCTACGCCAGCCCAACTCCTGCCATTTTAAACGCGCAACTCGCTTTACGCCCAAATCACAGCTCAAAACATAAACAACTTCGATTTGTCGAATTAATTGCTTCGCGTTTCGCCGCTAAACATCATGCATTGGTCATCTTTGTTGATTATCTCAATCATTTGACCGTGTCTGGCACCAGGGATTATTTTATAAGTTACAATCTATCTGTAATCTACTCATCTTCAAAATATCCATAGCTTTCTTGAAAACATAATTTTCCGAATTAAAGTTAACGACACTGTCCCCTAGTTATGAAATAAAGGGTGGTATGAATAAAAGTAAGCAACTACTCTTTGCTCCGAGTTTCGGAGATCGTTATCAGTTTCTTATGAATAAAGTGGGTGAGCAATTGCTCAGTAGCAGACTCACGTTTGAAAAGTAAGGTTAAATTTGCCGATTTTTTTTACCGTGGGTTAATATGCAGATGCAGCGGACTAAAAAAATACAAGATAAGGCGAAATTCTCGTGATGTACACTATTCGAATCTTTGCCGATTCGAAAAGGACAATGTATGGTTGTTACGATTTTTATTGGCGTTTGCTTTCAGGCGCGTTTTCATATTGAATATTTTCTATGTTAATTGGCCATCGCTCTTTTCTACTTGGAAATTTTCGGAATACTGTTTTTCCAAACTGTGTACTGTTTCGGTTTAGCCACAGCGAACCTCCGAATGTTGTCTCTTTTCAAAAATAATTTTATATTCGCGCAGCATTTCGGCAAAAACTATCTGAGCCTCTGGCGCCTGTTTTTTGTTACTGCTACTCATATTCGAATTTAAAGAACGAGACAACAAAACATTGCTCTTTGCTCCGTACAAATGTGCGCGAATGCATATGCTGGCGAGACATGAGTAAGTTCTTCGAAGACATACGAAGTTTTTATTCATACGAAATGGAGCTTCAGCTCAGTGCCGGGGAGTAGACTCACTTTGCTCTGGAGCAAGTACTCCTGAGCAAGTGCTCATTTTTATTCATATGACCCAATGATAGGAGTCCCTCGGGGACTTTTCTCCCCTCTTGTTTTTATTTTACATAGCAGACTCTTCTCATTCCGAAGATGCCAGCTTAGCGTTCTGCTCAGACTACACCATCTTTTCCATCTCGAACTTGGTCAGATATAGAGCACGTGGTTGAATTCAACCCCATTTTAGACGACTATACCTCCTGGACAGAAAAATGGCGCATCGAACTGAACCCCATAAAATCACGAGCAAACGTATTTTCCCTTCGCCGTCCCCGCCCCATCTACAAATTAATTAATTAATTTCGGTCCCTTGGCTCCTCAATACCTCAGTAAAATATCTGGGGGTGATGTTACCCAAAAGACGTGTTTAATAACTTCCGTTTCATGTATCTAAAGTTATCCCTGCGTGAAAACAGGAGGTTGAAGCTCTTTGGCAAAGGGAACTTGCGGGCTGAGATTTTAACTTTCTTTTTTTCCTTTATCGTATACGTACGTATATGCGGAGTAATATACGAAGTTTTGTTTTTCCAATTAGTTTTTTAATTAATATAATGACACTTTTTAAAAGTGTAGTTTTAAAAGAGTAGTTTTTACGTACTTTTTAGAAAAATACGGGCAATATCTAAAGCAAGATTTTCTAAAAATGGTGTCAAATTTTCTTTCAACTTTTTGTACGGATAATACTAAATATACTGAATAACATGTCATAAAACAATTTTTTATGTATTATTTGTTGTTTAAAAAAATCACAAATGTGTTTTTTTAAAATATTTATCCCATCGTTAAAATTTATATAATAGATGTATTTCATTGTTTAATACACATATGCTTTGAAGTATGTGGTATGTACACACACACATGGTGTATTTTCGAAAACGTTGAAACGAAATTTTCTCAAAAATATTTTCGAAACCGTTCGAACGAAATTTTCTCAAAAACTACTGTACGTTTTTCGTCGGAATCCTCCGCATTGAAAAATATTTCTTTACGATATCCCGAAAGCCTCATTTTGACCAAAATATTTGTGGTTTGAGAAATAAAAACTAGTGGTTCTCCAAAAGCACATACTTTCTCGTGTCGTTTCTATATTTGCAATTTAAAAAAAATGAAGGCTTCAACGAAAACGAGAGCCGCACCATTCTTTTAAGCATCCCTACTTTTAACTCATGAAACTATATTTAAAAAATTGGAATGTTTTTTGAGAAAAAAGTTAATTTTTTAAAACCTACTTCTATTTTGCGCCAAATTACACCAAAAATACTCAAATTCTTGTAAAATTGAACATGAACTTTTAAAAAAAATCTGTCTTTAAGACACTGATTTAATGAAGTGAAAAATCTCTCTTTATTTTAGGCAATAAGTTCATTTGAAATAAAATTAACAGTTTCTTTCGCCAAGTCTTGGAAATACAACGTTTCGAATCTCTATTGTGTCTCCATCATCAGGTTAATAACGTATAGCTATTTTTTTTCAAATAAAAAAGAAATAAAAACAGAAAAACTGAAGCTTCCGAATCTGAATTTTTATTAACAGAATTTACATATGTTGTCTAGGCTATCCGGGACGAGCCGCGTCACTGACATAGTGGCTAACGTTTCGGCCAGCGTATTGTGGCCTTCTTCAGAGCGTACTGCTGCAGTACTGTCGCGGAAGCCTACACAACCATAATTTACATATTTCCTCGTGTTTAAAAAATTTAATGTTTTCATTAATTCACTTTTTAATTGGTATTTTTTATTTAAAAAGTGTGTACTTTATTTACCTGATGATGGAGACACAATAGAGCTTCGAAATGCATTTTCAAGACTCTTTGTGAAATAAACTAAACTGTTAATTTTATTTCAAATGAACCGATTTTCTACAATAAAGTGTAGCCTGATTAATAGAATTTGTCATAGACAATCAATCAAATTGTTAAATAAAACACATTGTTAATAAAAAAGTCAGTCTTCAATATTATAGTTTTAGAAAGACACCCAAAAAATTTCACTTTTGCAATTATCAAAAATCTGGAATTTCAACGAATATGCGATTCCCCATTCTCAAAGTTTAATCAACAAATTTGTGCCATTTTTGAGAAAATTTTGAAACTGTTTTTGAGGTTTCATGTAAAGTATCATCAAAATCAAAATATACGTTTGAAACTCCCAAAGCCTCTAGTTTATTCTGATAAATTGGGGAATATAAGTTTTGAAGAAAATCGGCTGAACGGTTTAGGCGCTGTGCGTTGACTACAGGCAGACGTTTCGCCGTCAATCGATTTTTCGTTATCAAGGACCCACAAAACATAGTTTCTGGCTATAGTACGTATTAGAGGATTTCCCCCCTGTATTTAGCAACAGGATTTATCCACTCTTTCGTTACCAGAGCCCGGCAAGAAGCGTATTTTAATAAGCCGATCATTTGCTGCTTTCCGGCGCACCATTACGTAACTTTCTCTTCTTACGAAGTAACTTTCTTTTACTAATTTAGGGAACTTACTACAGAAATAACTATTATTTTGACAAAATCAACTGATTTTGCTATATAACATAGCAGCCATCAGTGGTCAAGTGTCCGGAAGTAATTTTAGCAAATAAAATGGTTCAGCTGTTGAATAGTCAAAGAATATTACAATGGGGTATGTTTGCCTCGTAGAAGTATGTGCTGTTGAACTTCCACGAGTTTTATTGTCCTGTTAGCGCCCCGAAAAATTGAGAGAATGTGAAAAAATGTCTTAGACGCCGAAAAGTAGTAGATGAGGCAAAAGCGAAGAGCTGGCGCAGAGAGAAAGAGATTACGAAACTAACTCTTTGTGCTATTGTGTAGCACCACTAGTTTTTGTTTGTTTGTTTTCAATTTTAGATCGCTACTACCTGTCGGTTCGGTTATCGGGGGGCTCTTTCTGCAACCAAACGACCGTGGCAGGCTCTTCTCTGAGCCGAAGCCCTTTCGAGGGCTGCTGAGGTGGCAGATCCGGGGGCGGAAGGAAGAGGCTGGGCTGGGCTGGGCTGGCCTCGGGGCTCTTCCTGGTGCAGGACTCGTGCCGAGGGCCGCCGCCGCCGCCGCCAGCGCGAACGCCCTTGTTTGCGTCGGGCGGAGCGGATTCGTCTGGGCGGGGCGCGGGGCGCGCAGGGCCCTGAGCCCGATGTGGCGCTCGTGTGGCGGCGGCGGCGGCGGCGGCGGCGGCGGGGACGAGGGCGGCGCGCGAGCCCGCGCGAACAGTGCGCTGAGGCGCTTTGCTGCGCGCGGACGTTGCGAGAGCGGCAGCGAGGGCGAGGGCGAGAGCGAGAGCGAGGCGAGGGCGAGGGCGATGAGGGTGAGGGCGGGCCGGAGCGGGTGAGGCGTCCCGGCAGCCGCAAACCATGACGGTGAGCTACCAGTACGAGGTGGCCTCGTCCACGAGCGGCGGCTTCACCCGCCTGCTCTTCATGTGGAAGGGCAGCCTGTACAAGCTCATCTACCGCGAGCTGCTGCTGCTTCCTCGCGGCCTTCGGCCTGCTCAGCGCTCTCTACAGGAACACCTTCAACAGCGACCAGCGAAAGTAAGTGCGACCGCTGCCGCGTTGCAGCCAACGAGCCCTTCCACGTTTGGCAGCTCCGCCGCTTGAGCCTCCGATCTCCCCCCCCCCCACGCAGGCAGCCATCGGCTTCACAATGGATGCCACTGTGGGGCTGCGCTCACAGGTTATTTTTTAACGAAAAATGTCCCAAGCGCGATTACAAGCTTGCACAGCACAATTGAGTCAACGAAATGAATTTCTCGTTTCAAAACCGATGAAATCTTTTCGAGTACCCTATTGGTAATGTTCATCTCTTGTGTCTTCTATCTGGTGTAAATTCTATCTGGTGCCGATTCTGAAGAGATTTCTGAAAATGTAATTGGCAATGTTGATATCCTAGAAGATTATCCAGAGCGAATTTTGAGATAGTTCCTTGTTTTACTTCTGGACAGTAAATGCAGTCCACCACTGAAAAACGTGCATATATGTGTTGTGTTTATATTTTTTAGCGTTACACTCAACATAGGTAGTTGCACTTTTTTTTGGGGAGAAACATTAGTGCTGTACTTGAGTGTTCTCAAACAACCAAAGCATATTTTCCTGAGAGAGTGTTCGGCCCAGATTTCTGTGAATATTTTTTTCTGCTAATAATTGTTCACTTTATTTTGTGTTCTAATCCTTGACGCAACGGGAGACAGGTTTCCCTTGAAAACTCTTCCTATTCTGTTCTTTAGAACAGATGAACGATTTGTAGACTTTGGATCTCTCAAGACGTTTTGACGGAATTAATTAATTAAATTGATTCCTCGAAGAATACCTTTTGGATATGATTATTGGGTGATTTCCACGTTTTTTCTTGTGAAGTGTTAATTTTATTTTTTTAAGTACATCGTGCATTTGAAACTTCTCAGGATACTTGATCACTTAGTGTTTTAGATTTGTCTTTGGTTTTAGAGAGTTACTTTTGAGGTATCGCCATAAATACTCGAATTGATTAATATTCGGGGTGTGTGGACGTGTTACAATGTATTTTGGAGTGTTATATAATATTCTAAATCTAGAATTACGACCTGTGTGCATTGGTTCATTATCTTGAATGAAAACATAACTTTTCTGTCTCAATTTGTTGGCTCTAGATGCCAGATTCGTTATAAGAATGTTAATATAATGTTTATGACGCATCCTCTATAAACTCTGAAGACTGACCCTCTGCTACTTCCATCACCATGCTGGACTGGAGGAAGCCAAAGAGTCTATCTGCACTCAACCTTTCTCAGCACTTTTATTGAGCTCTTAAAAAACAAACGAAAAACAAAACAAAACAAAAAAAACGTGTATATGCCTTCATATGTAAAGAAAACTTCATCCCAGAACTCTATAAAATATGAGATGATTAGCAAATTGCATTCGTTTTCTGCTATTTATTTGATTAATGCTTGTTTTTCGCATTGCATTTCTACAATAGTATGCAGTATTACACAAACATTTCTGGATAATGGATGAATTGATATTAAGTTTTAAATCGGTTATTAGTTCAACACTAATTTTTGCAGCAACTCCTATTGAGATTTCGGTTTCTTAGTTTCACATAATATATAAATCATAGATTTTCTCTTTCCAAACGTCACAAGAAATGCCTGACTGAGGTATCTTCACCTACGTACCATTTTAAATATTTTAAAATAGCAACAGGAATAATGGGCTTAAATGATAATCCTTCTCTCATCTCTATTTTTAAAATTTTAAAGATATATTTGAGATATTAGAACTAAGAAGATTGATCGAGAAAGTAAGAAAGACACTTGTACGAAAAATTTCTTTGCATCAATTTTATGGACTCTTGGCTACCTACCCATTCTCTGTGAGACTACCCTTCATACACTATTCTGTCTTGAGGGGAATATTCCTACATTCCGTTGCAAATTAAGTCTGTTTATTTCTCATTGTAGTGCTCATAAAATGTATATAATATTGAAAGATAGAAGTCTACGAATACTTTTTCTGATAACTGCATAAGATAAATATCATTATAATATAATATGAAATACCTATTAAAATAATGAATAAGATAAGTTGTTGAGGATGATATCTGTATTTTGTCAGCCATCATAATAATTTGTATAATATAAGATTTCAGTCTATTTTCCTCTTGTAGTTTTATTTTTATTAATTGCAATGAAGGCTGTCGATACATTTACAAGGTAGAAATATTTTAAAAATGAATAGTAATTGAGCTTGAAGACTACGTCTATCCAAGCTCAAATTCATGAATAGAGAATTGGATTATTCTAAAGATAGGATTTTTGATAGTTGACTCACGCAAGCACTGGTTTAGTTTGTAGATATTCTTTTCCTTAAACAGTTCGAATTCTATTTCGTTAATTAGACTTAAAGTATGTATTTTTGCAATAAACGTTGGTGAACAACTTGAATTTAACTGTAATTTATAACATAGTCCTGAGTTGTGCAAATTGCCTGAATTACGTACGCTCGTAAACCGATTTTCGAGTAAGTCTCGACGCCAGGGCGCTCGCACCGCGCAGGCCGCGCCGGCCATTTGGCGCATCCGCACGCGCTACCTGTGCACCGCTCGGCAGACGGTACAAGAGATACGTCCCTAACAGAAGAACTTTCCAAGAACAAAAACCGATGAGGCATGGTTAAATTATAGCTTGGATGTCTTTGAAGAGAATTATGGAAACAAGTTCATCCAGCTAATAATGTTAAGAAAGTACGTTCAGACTCCCTTCATTCGTTCAAACCCCTTCAATCGGTTTTTAATCTTTTTAAATTTTAAGGAGACAAAAGTGTTGAGAATATAACATTTCGAGGAAAGTTAATTTTTATTTTTCGCACTCGCAAACACCTTTGCAGCTATAAACAAAATGTGGGTCGACTTACACTAATCAAACTCGGTCAGTGATGTAGTCATCTGATGACATTTTTAATCTTTTTAATCTTTGTTCTCCAACGTATGGGTCGAAATGACCCGAAGCCGCGAAAAAGACGCAGATGTGACAGGGTAGTAGGGGACATTTTGAATTTCATTGAAATAATGGAAAAGATGTGTTTGAAAAGAATTGTTTCCTAGAATGTTGAAATTGCCTAATTTCACAAAACTGTGAATTTGGCCTAAAAGACCCGACGTTGTAGTTCATATCCCGGCATTTCACGTTGTAGACCAAAAGTTAATTATCAATGCCAATTGTATGTGGCTGAGAGTAATGAATGTCAAATAGGAACACCGCTGAACACTCGAGAGCTTTCTGCCTCTATCTTCCCTCCTTTTTGATATTGGTACAAAAGTGAATAAATCGTGGAAATGATGATACTGTAGGAAATTCTTGAGTTGATTTTTGTTTTTTAACGAGTTCACCTATTTCTGATGGTTTTTGTGATAGGGTGGCCTTGCGAGGTGCACACAGATGGGTCAGTGGAGGGGGGTTGTGAACCTATCAAGATTTTGAAAGGGACCCCGTAGTTTTTTTATAAAATATTTTATTTCCGTATGTCCAATCCCTGATATCCACTGGTTGAACCTGACATTTTGGTGAATGTTATACTACATTTAAGGAAGAAGCTCTCAAAAGCCAGCTGACAACCCGAACATGGTTCAACATAAAATCATTTGTATTTATTAATTCTGTCATTAAATTGGTAATTTACTTTCGTGATAATATGTGTATGGTTTGTTTCTGTACTAGTAAAATGCGTCACCCGTGAGAAAGCGCTGCCGTTGCCCTCGTCGCTGCCCACGGAAGCACCGCCGCTGTCGCCAGCGAGCGAGTCCCAAGAGATCTTAAACCTCTCACTTTTGTATTTATAATCTAAACATGCATACTAACACTTACAAACTAAACCTACAATGGACTCTACTTATTTAGCATATTTACGCGCATTAGCACCTACAATCTAAACTAACATACTATCACTGAGGTTTTTATAGTTTGCCAGCCAAACTTGCACTGGCTTTTGAGAATGCCAGTTGCAGTTACACTTTTCCCCCGCCTCCACACGCACACCCTGGCCCGATGGCTGGCCGTGGGGGGCGGGGGCGCTCCCCCTGCTGGCCGCTTGTGACGCGCATCCACGGAGCGACGAGGGCGGCATGCCGAGACGACGTGCGCTGAGCTTTCCTTAGCGGCGGCGGCCGAGTTGGGATGCTATCAATGTTACGTTGACCAATGCATTAGCGTTCTAGAGGCACATGTGGTTTTTGTATATAGCCTCGATATATTTCGGTAAACTGGCTAGTCCATTGTAATATATAATTTCGATAGCTTAATTCTTTCCACATTATTGCTTTCTTCTCTAATTTCATTTCTACTTTTCAAAACTTTTTTCAAAACGTCTGCCAGTGTATTTGGTGTAAGTGAACATCACTAGCGCCTAAACAATACGTAGGACTTTTTTCCAAATTGAAGAAACCATCTGCCCTGAGTCGTAGCTCTGCGAATTTGAAAAATATTAATAAATTTTGGGGGTACTTTTCTTGAAGTCCTTGAGACATTTTCAAATTTTTCAAAAAATGTCTCCAATTTTTTTTAAATGTCTTGCAAGAAGAGAGTGGAATACATTTAATACCATAAACGTGGCATTGCTCCCATTTTCATTGTTACTCTGAATTTTCGATAATTCGTTTTATTTTTTATCGGCGGCTTCCTATAACTGCAATATTGAAAATAAACATTTTTTCTCCAAAGAAATTTGTGATCCACAATATTGCTTGCAATACGTGCAATATTAAAAACCAACGAAAACAAGATTTTTTCAAACACGGCTCAACACTTTTTCTTTAGGCTTTTGGTGGGGATGGTAATAAACGCGCTCTATGAGATGACATATACCCCATATTGCTCTATTCTTTTGTTTTTACAAAAAATACAAAAATGTATTTACTAACTTTAACCTCGTCAATATTTACATTATCGGCGATTTGTTTCCGTTATTGCATTTACGACTACATATGCTTTAAATGGTGTCTGGTGAAGTTTTCACGCAAGCTCAAAAGGTTTCTGTGAAAACGCGCATAAACGCCATTT